GCAGCAGGAGCACGGCTCACACTGAGCTGCAGCAAGAGCAAGAGCCACTTTAAGCCCCAGGAGCACCTTTCCCATGCTGAGGATGCCCTTTGAGCCCGGCCAAGAACCACTCAAAGGCTCTCTCCTTGGCACCACCTTCCTCATTCCTGCCCTAGGTCCTGTCCATCCCTATCAAGCTGCAGCGTGGGCTTGGACCTGGAAATATTTACTCCTCCAGCAGCACAGAGGAACCTAATCCTGCCCTGGCCCCAGCGCCAAGGGATTGACGCAAGCGGCCCCCATTCCCAAGCCTGCCCTCCCGCCAGCACATCCATCCCCATTGACCCCGCAGTGATTGACAGAGCTGCTGGCACATGGGGAACCCCATCAGGGTTCAGGAAACCCCTATGGCTGCAGCACCCTCATCCCCCAGCAGCATCCACAGCACAGACGTCACGATGGTGGGTTTAGGGTCAAACATTTGGACCCTTTGAATGGATGGGCTCTGTTGGCAGCAGAAGATGCAGCTGTAGAGATGCAGACGTGGGGAGAAGGCCGTACCCATGTCCAGTGTCCCCCGTGCCAAGCACAACTCTGGGTATGACACAAGTGTTCACTTTGGCAGCAAATCCCACCCTGGCCTGACCTTTCCTTCCTGCTAAACCAAGCCTGTGACTCAGTGCAGTGATTGCAGCGTTCCCAGCCAGCGACGAGCCCACCACGGATCACAAACGTTCCATTAATCCCACTTAATCCCATTTGGCAGAGGGCTTCCCCGGTGCCAAACTGGTTGTGATCCCGGGGTGCTGTGCACACCCCAGGGTGAGGAGGGATAAAAGGGGTTCCATAGCCGGGGTGAGGCAGAGGGAAGGTCTAGAGGCCATGGCAGGATTTGGATCCGGTGCTGGTGCGGGGCCAGGAGCAGGCAGGTCTGTGCTGGCAGTGAGGAAGTGTCTGAGATGCAATCGGCTGCAGAGGCTGTGCAGCCGCTCAGAGCAGAGGCCCCACATCGCCCTGCCTGTGGGTGCACCCCAGCGCATGGAAAGCTGGAAACAGGCTGGGAACATCCTGATGATCCCGATGGAAACAGGCATTGAGGAGTGAAGGCACCATCCTGGGGCGTGCTGGGAGAAGCCTGCCCTGCTGTGCTGTGCCATGTTGTGCTGTGCCAGCCTCTGGAGGGACGCTCTGTGGCAGCGAAATGCTGGTGAGGTATTCCCATCTTTGGATGCAGAACCATGGAATCACTGTGCCAGCACCTCAGCACCCTCATGGGGAAGAGCTTCTGCCTAAGATCTCATCTCAGTCTCCCCTCTGGCAGCTTAAAGCCATTCCCCTTGGCCTGTCCCTACATCCCTTGTCCCAAGCCCCTCTCCAGGTTTCCTGCAGCCCCTTCAGGCACTGGAGCTGCTCTCAGGTCTCCCCTTCAGGAGCCTTCTCTTCTCCAGGCTGCCCCAGCCCAGCTCTCTCAGCCTGGCTCCAGGTATGAAGAGGATCTGAGCAAACCACCAAGAGCCCCAAGGGGAGCCACATGCACGGTGGGCTTTGGAAAGCCGGAATTTCTGAGGGTGGGAAAGAGAAAGCCATGGGAAAGGGCCCTGCAGGAGCATTCCTGCTGCTCCCCTCCTGCCCAAGGCCTGGCTGCATCGGGGCTCTGAGCCGCAGCTCCCAGTGGCTGCTCAGGAAACCATGAGGAGACATGAGTTTAACTGGCACCAGACAGACCGGTGATGGGCTGGGACATAGGGGAACCAGCAGCATGGGGGGGTTGCGACACCCCTTCTGGGAAAGGGCTGAGGCTGGATGGGTGCTGGGGAGCAGCTGCAATGCTCCATGGCTGGAGACACACGGCAGCACACCCAGATGTGCTGTGCCGGCACTAAATGGGCCCTGCCAGCTCCAGATGTGCCGCCTTGGCTCCAGATGCCAGCACCCACATTGCCTGGCTCCAAGTGCTCTATCTGAGCCAGATGTGCTCACCCTTGGCCCTGTCCCATCTCCAGATGTGCAGCCCCGCAGTGCCGCCCCGGATCCAGATGTTATAACCTGGTTCACATGTGCTTGTTCCAGGCCCAGATGTGCAGCCCTGTCCCCAGATGTGTGCCCCACAGGGTGTTCTCCCCAGCCCTAGCAGCCCTGCAGACGGGCTGGGATTCCCCTGGGGTCCTCCTTGGCTCAGTGCCCTCCATGCCAGCACCCCCGAGCCACAGCAAAGCCCAACCCCTCTGCCTCCCAAAACTGGTTTTGAGAGATCCATACAAATCCTTTCCTTACAACAGGCATTAAACACATCCGTAACACAAAGAATTCCCCCTCCCCATCTTGCTCCATGCACAGCAGGGTTATATAGGTTACCCTAACTCCACATTACGGTTCCAGCGTACGGTGAGCCTCCAATGCCATGGTGGTAGCAGGTGGATGCTCTTGCTTTCACCCACCCTTTGCTTCCACACCATGAAACCCCCATGGACCATTCCAGACCCGGAGCAGCTCAGGTCTGTGGCAGAGAGAGGGGGAATTCAGCTCCCCAGTGTTTCCTCCTCTGAGGGCAGAGGCGGGTGAGCAGTGTGGTATTTCCTGTGGTTGCAGCACTCTAATGAGGTTAACACTGTTACTGAGGTTAACTCTTCAACCGACATGAAAGAGGAAGCCCCGGGCTCTGCAGTGGGGCAGGTTTGGGAGCAGGGGCTCTGTGGTCCATCAGCATCCCCTTAGGACCAGCACAAGCAGAGGGGGTGACAACAACCTCAGCCCTTAAGGAGGTTTTCATGGTATTAGCAAAACCACGTTCTTTTACTGGTGGGGCTCCTTCACTGAGCTCCTGCCACCTTGTGCTCCTTGACTCCATCCTAAATCCACTTGGGATGGGCTTCACGTTGCCGGGGTGGCTCCAGATTCTCTGAACACTGAAGGAGCAAAGGAAGCCCTTCCCCCCGGGGCTCCTCTTTAGGGGATGCTGGGTTTCCCCATGGACTGACTCACACTGGAAACTCTCAGCTTCTCTATCTAGGTCAGGCTCGCACTTGCTCATGCTTCTCACAGCGCTCGGCAGCCCCAGCCCCAGGCAGAGGGGCCCGGCAGCACGTCCTGAGCGCTGGCAAGGTAAGAACCCCCCCTCCCTGCTCTTCCCAGCCTCCAGCCTGCTCCCACCTGGATCTCGAACCCAAAACCCCTCTTTGTGTGTGTCAGCTGCTGCTTCAGTGTCTTAGCTGGGTCCGAGACCCGCTGCCAGCGAAGGCTTCGCATGGTGCGGGCTTGCACAAGCGGGACAGCTCTTTCCTCCTGCAGTTTGCGTTTCTTCAGCACTGATGTACAAGGAGCCTTTAACAGGGACGAGAGCAGACTGTCACCTCTCCAACAAGGGGAACGGTCCCGTTCCACCTGGCTTCGGAGCTTGCACATGCCTATAAACTGGAATACAACCACATGTGAGCGATCCCAGGGGAGGCAGCGCTGCAATCCCGTCCCAGGGCTGCCAGTGGGGCAGATTTGCTGCATTTTCAACTCTTTTCGTACAGCACAAGGTTGGGGTTGATGCTTCCCCCCCCGTTTGTTTTAACTTGCACGTTTGCAGGCAACTGGGAGGCCCTTCAAGCTCTTTTAGTGGGTCAGGTAATAGGAAAGCGCTTGAAATTTGACTCATTCATGAATACTTCAACAGCCCTTAAACCAAATGGGGTCAGCTCACGGAGCAGGGAAACACAGCAGCCCTCGCTGGCGTCCGGAGCCTGGTTTGGGTTGAACAAGAGCATTTTGAAGGCGTTGCAGCTGGTGTGACTCTGGGTCAGTGTCCTCCTCAAGGGGAAACTCGTCTGTAACATCAGATTGCGCCGGGGGCTATTGCTGGTGTGTGTCTCTAGTTCTAGTCTATGGCTCCAGTCATTTCTAGTCTCTGTCTCTAGTTTGAGGCATCCCTGCCATCCGACCCGGAGGGCTGGAGCTGGAGCATCTTCGGGGCCTTTCCAACCCAACCCAATCTGCTTCTATGATTTTAGTTATTGCTGGCTTAAAAAGAAAACTATGGGAGCCCTATGGAAGGCTTGGCTCTGATTTCAGCTCCGGGAGCTGTGTCCTTGTGCTGCTCCAAAGCCATTGAGCCCCATGGGGCTGGGCTTCCCCTTTGAGGGGGTTTCGCCTTGTTGCGTGAATCCAAAGAGGCTGGGGAGGGAGGCGAAGGGAGCAGGTTAAAATTCAGGCGGGATGTGGGATGGAAGTGTGGCTTCTTGGGAAAGAGGGGAATTCCTTGCCTGGGGGTCTGGAACCGGCTCGGCTGGGGCAGGAGCTGCCACAGCAAAGGGGTGGGAAGGACGATGTGAGGATGGGGAAAGCTTCTGTTCCACAAAACCATGTCTGGTGAGGTCTGAGCATCTCCAGGGGTGCAGGCTGCAGGGAAAGCCCTCAGGGCGGCCAGCCCCTTGTGTGGTCACCCTTAAAGTGCCTTTTCTTGTGTTTAACGGTGGAAATGGGGAATTCCACATCTTCAGGGTGAGCCCATTGCCTCCTGTCCTGTCCCTGGGCTCCACTGACAGGAGCCTGGCTCCCTCAGCTCTACTCCACCATCAGACACCTGTGTAAGTGTGATGGGGAAGGGATGAGGGACCTGGGGGGTTCAGTGTGGAGAAGAGAAGGCTCAGGGGGGACCTGATGGCTCCCTACAAGTGCCTGACAGGAGGATGGAGCCAGGAGGGGCTGGGCTCTGCTCCCAAGGAACAAGGGATGGGACAAGAGGAACCGGCCTCAAGCTGCCCCAGGGCAGGTTTAGATGGAGCTGAGGAACAATTCCTGCCCCAGAGGGTGCTCAGGCATTGGAACAGGCTGCCCAGGGCAGGGCTGCAGGCACCGTCCCTGCGAGTGTTCACACAGCGTGGAGGGGAGGCCTCAGTGCCATGGGGCAGTGGTGGCCTTGGCAGGGCTGGGGAATGGTTGGACTGGGTGAGCTTGAAGGGCTTTTCCAACCTGGTTGGTTCTAGGATACTTCCCTGCATCTTTCTCCGTGCCCTGGTTACCAAAGGCTGCAGGAATGTGCTTCTGTGTGAGCAGAAGTGAAGGACTGGGGAAATCCCACAGATAGGAGAACCAAGAGGAATACCACTGGAGATGGGGCAAGTGGCCTCGGGGCTGCTCCCCGGGGCAGACACTGGGGTTCTCAATCCCCGAGTGCCCACGGGCTCATTCCCCCCCCCTCCTCCTGTGAGCACAGCCTTGCCTGACCCCAGAGCCCCAGGGAAATCCTTGCCACGCATCCCCATTCCCACCTCCGGGATGGTCCCTGCGCACCCCAGGGTGAGGGCAGACGCGGCTGCACGGGGCAGCGGTGTTCCCGGTGTGACAGCTCCCACCTTTCCTCCCTCCAGACTATGCCACGTGCGGGCAGTGAGCACAGCCCGGGCCATGGCGGGGTCCAGCGAGGCTTTGGCACTGCACATCCTGCTCTGCTGCCTGTGTGCAGGTAAGGGGCATCACCGCCACCGACCGCTGATCAAACACCGTGGACCTACAGGGAACTGGAGCGGGAGAAGGAAAAGGATGGGGCTACAGCCACGGGGTTAGGGGGAATGCTTTGTTAGCGTTGCAGGGACCTCCCATTGCACCCTTTTCTTCCCACTCACATCCTTGGAGTGGGGTCACATCCAGCTGCAACATGGTCCTGCCTTTGCACAGATAGAGCCAGAGCACACTGGTTCCAGGAAGGCAAAAGGAGCCGGATACAGTGCAGAGCTCTCATCTGATAGCGAGGAGCGGCGCAGGGGCTGCTGGCCTAATCTCAGGGGATCAGAGATCTCGAGACAACAGGTTATTTCCCTTACGTTAGAGCAGAACCAGCGCTGGTGAAAGGAGGGGTTGTGAGCAGAGGGGAGGAGTCAGGGGGTGCTGGGTTGTGCTGAAGGCAAAGGGGTTTATCCCCATCCCAGAGGGGAGCAAAGGGACAGCCCCCACTGTGGGTCCTGGCGGGCTGCTGCCTGCATCCCAGCAGAGCAGCCCATGAGCATCCCCTGCTCCCACCCGGAGCTGCCCTGACTCAGCGGATGCTGGTGCAGGGGTTGCCAACATCAGGTGCTCGGGACACGTCTGGATCGAGCCCGCTCCGGTGGTGCGGATGGGCACCAACATCTCCATCAACTGCATCTCCACCCTCGGCTGCCCCTGGGCCAAGTTCCGCATCTTCTTCAACTACAGCCACGCTGAGGGGACCCCAGCCCCCCTCAACAGCAGCAGCGTCCAGCTCCGGCTGCGGGAGTTCCGGATGCCCTTTGGGAGCGTGACCTGCTTCGCCCGCTGCCCCAACACCAACATGTACCAGCTCGTGTGCGGCACCACCGTCCTGGCCGGCTGTGAGTACCCCCTGGCTGCAGGGATCCATGGAACCAAGGGCTTTGGTTTGGCTTGGAAGGGACCTGACCTTAAAGCTCCTCCAGCTCATGGGCAGGGACCCCTTCCACTGGAGCAGCTTGCTCCAAGCCCCTGTGTCCAACCTGGCCTTGAACACTGCCAGGGATGGGGCAGCCACAGCTTCTCTGGGCACCCTGTGCCAGCGCCTCAGCACCCTCACAGGGAAGAGCTTCTGCCTAAGAGCTCATCTCAGTCTCCCCTCTCGCAGGTTAAAGCCATTCCCCTTGGCCTGTCCCTACAGGCCCTTGTCCCAAGCCCCTCTCCAGCTTTCCTGCAGCCCCTTCAGGCACTGGAGCTGCTCTCAGGTCTCCCCTTCAGGAGCCTTCTCTTCTCCAGGCTGCCCCAGCCCAGCTCTCTCAGCCTGGCTCCAGAGCAGAGCTGCTCCAGCCCTCGCAGCATCTCCATGGCCTCCTCTGGCCTCGCTCCAACAGCTCCACGTCCCTCTTGTGCTGCTGCCCCAGAGCTGGTCACAGCTCTGCAGGCCTTTGTGAAGCCGCCAGCACCGAGGAAGCTGCAGCACCGGTCGGGGCTTTCCACACTCTTTACCTGACTTTGCCTCCACAGACCCCCCGGACCCCCCCAGCAACCTGACCTGCGCCATCCAGGAGCGCTCGGGACACATGGCATGCACATGGGATACAGGGCAGACAACCCACCTGCCCACCCAGTACACCCTCCACCTGCGCAGGTAATTCCCTCGGGATGGAAGCACCGGGATGGAGCAGAGAGGAAGCGCATGGGATGGAGACAGGGCGAGGAGGGAGCGCGGTAACCGGCAGAGCCGCCACATGGCGCTGCGGTCGCCCACAGACGTGGGTGACACCAGGGCTGCTCTGCTGCTGGCACCCGTGCCCTACTTACACTTCCCAAAGCTCCCGGTCCCCTGCTTGCAAACCACACGTTAAACCGTGGCTTTGAACTGGCAGGGTGGACTCTGTGCGCTCAGTGCCGTGAGCGCTGCATCGTGTCGGAGCGCAGCACAGCAATGCACCTGAGCTGGTCTGGGTCTTTCTGAGCTGCAGGGAGTGCTGAGGGTGCAGCCGTGCGTGCGCCTTGCACCGCCCAAACCCCGAAACTGAAACTCCAGCCGGGTGCAAAGAGTGAACCCGAAGCAGCCGCGCTCCGTGCCGCAGCCCTTCCTACCCAGCCGGGGATGCTCCCTGCCACCGAAGCCCCGGTGACACAAGGCTGGCAGCCTTTCAAAGCCAGCCTGACTCAGTTGTTAAAGCAAATGCACGAAATCCCATCATACAGAGGCTTTGTGAAGGGAGGTGATTAACCACCTGCCTAAGCCTGCTTGGGCTCAGACGGAGCTGTGCAGAGAGGGCTGAGAATGTTCTCTGCCAACAGGGATGCTTCCAACACAGGTGCTCCACAGGCAGGTCAAGAACTGAGGGCACCGCTTTCTAGTTCGCTTTAGGAGTGACAAACACTGGCTTTGGAGATGACTGTGCCCCAGTCACAAGCTGCAACCTACAGAGAGCTGCAGCTGCTTTTCCAACGGGTGCATGATGCCCGAGGGGTTCTGACCATGTCGTCTTCTTCCCAGAGTGCGGACAGCAGTGACAGAGGATGCTAAGGAGGATGATGATGATGAAGAGGAGGAGAAGGTCTTCCCTGCAGGCTCACTGGTACCAGTGAGCAGCCTGCATGGTGGGAACCACTACTCAGCATGGGTGCAGGCCAGCAACATGCTGGGTGCTGCCCGCTCAGCCCCTCAGCACCTCAACCTGCAGCAGCTCGGTATGTCCATCCCCATCCATCTGTCCCTCCATCCTGAGCTGCTCTGTGTGCTGGGGCTCTGCGTGACCACAGGCACTGCCCCGAGACATCACTTTAGGGACACCAAGGGAAGGTTGGAACTGGATGAGCTCTAAGCTCCCTTCCAACACAAACCATTCCATGGTTGCATGACCTGCATGAGCACCGCAGCTCACGTGAGGGAGGACAGCGTGCTATGGGTGCCAGCCCCCAAACCCATGCTTTCTCTTCTCTCCCCGCAGTGATCCCCGCTCTGCCCCTGCTCACCGGTGCAGAGACAACAGAGAGCTCAGCTCCCATCACCACCATCCACTGGAAGAGGCAGACGCTGCTGGGGAGCGTGCGCTGTGAGGAGCGGCACAAAGCCACGGGCAGCGCGGCGTGGCAAGTGAGAGCCTGCAGCCCCAGCCTGCCATGGGCACAGCTGCCGGGGCTGCTGGAGACCCCTGAGCACCCACAGGCCATGGGAGCACCTGGGGTCATTCAAAACCCACCCCTTCGCTTCAGCACCGCCAGCCACGGGCACCCTGCTTCCCTTGCAGGTGGAGGTGTGGGACAGTACGGCCCAGCAGGGCTCCCGCTCACAGCACAGCCTGCACAGTGACACCCAGTACGTGTTCCAGGTCCGGTGCCGGCTCAGCGCTGCCGACAGCCCCTGGAGCGCCTGGAGCTCCCCCTTCCTCTACACCACCCCCGAGGCAGGTAAGCTCAGCCTCAGCGCTGCGTTACCCAAGCAGCCAGCAGCTCCTCGGGATGCTCTGTGGGAGCCTGGCCACGGAATGGGAGCTGGCACATCCCTGAAGACACTGCTGGCAGGTATCAGGCATGATGCTGTGGTCCAGGACTGCCGCCACATCACCATCCCCACACTGCCGCTGAGGGACGAGCACTGGCACAAGCTGGCAGCTCATCTCATGCCCTCCAAGCACTCCTGGCCCTGTGGCGTGCTGCAGGTCGTGGTGATTTAGGCAGATTCCTGAGGCTGCTGCAGTATGGGAGGAACAGAAGCGAAACCAGACTGGTTTTGCAAGCACAGGGTTTTCCATACAGAAAGAGGGATGGGATCTGCTTATCCATCTTTGGCAGCTTTTTTGCTCCCCAGCAGCAGGGAGCACCTCTTGCCCTAGCTGGAAAACCCACATCATCCAGGGTGTCCCACCAGCCCCAAACACCCATTGTCTTGGGTCAACCTCCACCATTGCGTCCTGGTTACTAACACCAGGATGAGCTTAGACACTCAGATACCTCAGACTGCAGCAACGGAGACACCCAGCGAGCGATGCCCTCACGTCCTGGTTACAGTGAGGAAGCTGGAGACAAGCTTGCCCTAAAAAAGCATCGCTCACTGCTGTTTGTAGTCTGGGTCACTTCCTCCCCACGGTGGTAGAGCTGTGCAGCAACGACATTGCTGCTGGGCTCCCAACCTGCATCCCTGCTGCTGCTGGGCTCCCAACCTGCATCCCTGCTGCTGCTGGGCTCCATCACCATCACCAGCCCCATGGAGGCATCAGCCAAGTGGGGCTTTCTGCAAAGGCTGTGCGTGGATGGGAGCCCCATGGCAGGGACGGGTGGGAAGCCCCAGCCGATTCCACTCGGGGTTGCTCATCCCACGCTCCCTCCTGCAGCCCCCGCGGCAGCTCCCGATGTCTGGCGGCGCCTGGGCCCGGCGTTCCCGAACGGCAGCCACGAGGTGACGGTCTTGATCAAGGTAAGGTCTGGGCTCGGCAGCTGCAGCGCAGTTTCCGTGTGCTTCGCTCCTCCCCTTGGGAGAACAGCGCCAAGAGGCATCGGAAGGCAATGCCCTTCCTAAAGAGCCCTGTGACCGAAGAGATGAGGAGAACAAGAGACCCCAAAGTGGCCTTCGGGGCAAAACCTCTCCCTCCTTGCAAAACCCATCCGTGTTGCACAGCCAAGGGGGGGGTCTGTCCTGCACGGGGGTGTCTCAGTGCTGGACCATGCACCCATCCCCATGGAGGGTCTGTCTCACCTTCCACAGCCCCTGGCACCCCAGGATGCCCGCGGGAGGATCCTGGGCTACTCCGTGACCGCCGAGATCCCTGCGGGACGGGTGCTGCTCTGCAACACCTCCAGCACGGGGTGCAGTGTCCTGGTGCCCCCGGGGGCCCGCACCCTCCGTGTCACCGCTCACAACTCCAAGGGGGCTTCCAGCCCCGCCAACATCACCCTCACCCAGGGCAGCAGCAGCCTCGAAGGTAGGATCCAACGCACGCCGAATGCAGCTTTAACTGAGATGGGCTTTTGTCGGCAGGGGAGGGCAGCTTGTGCATCACGGCTTGGGAGCTGCCCTCTTCAGCAGGGGCTGCAGGGACAGGCCAAGGGGAATGGCTTTAACCTGCCCGAGGGGAGACTGAGCTGAGCTCTTAGGCAGAAGCTCTTCCCTGTGAGGGTGCTGAGGTGCTGGCACAGGGTGCCCAGAGAAGCTGTGGCTGCCCCATCCCTGGCAGTGCTCAAGGGCAGGTTGGACACAGGGGCTTGGAGCAAGCTGCTCCAGTGGAAGGGGTCCCTGCCCGTGGCAGGGGTTGGAGCTGGAGGAGCTTTAAGGTCCCTTCCAACACAAACCAGGCTGGGGCTCTATGAAAGCAAGGGGAAAAGGCCCAGCAGAGCTCTGCCTGCTCTGCTGAGGGAACACAGCATCCTCCAGGCAAGGCCGGCATTCCCCGGAGATGGAGATGCTCCACAGTCACGTACCTCAGCCCTTGGCCTCTGAAGGCTGCAGCAACAAGCTTAAACATGAGTTAATCCTGCCTGTGTTGCCTGGCTGGGATGGGCTGTGCCATGGGCTCGGTGCAAAACAGCTCGGTGCCAGGGACACAGCCCCTGCTGTGAGCTGGGTCCTTGCAAGCACAAAGGGAGGGGACAAAACCAACCCTCCCAGGCCACTTCCCTGCACCACAGGCTGTGGTTTTCCCCACAACCATCACTTTCTCATTTGTGAAAGCTGACTCTTAATGAGCAACAGGGGGGGAAAGCCCCATTCAAACTGAGGACAAATCTGTTACTAAAAGGAGACCAGAGAGAAAGAAGGTGGAAAAACCACTCTAATCTCTCCTACTTATCAGAATCATAGCCCTTCTTGCAAGAAATGCCAAGTAAAGCATTTCAGAAGAGGCATGACAAAGCTGAAGGTGTGTTTTTGTGATACCTATATGTGAGCACATACAGACATAGTAAACAAGAGCTAGCAGGGCTTGTTTAAAGAGCTTTAAGCTAGATTTGAAGGGGGAAAGGGATAAAACCAGCCTCACTAGAGGTAAGCCTGGGGCAGCACACTAATGTTGGAGGGACTGCGGCCATCAGGTCCTTCAGTCTGCCATCTCAGTGAAGGCAGAGGATGGAGATGCATATGCCAGCAAAGATGCAAGGGCTCCTGATGTGTTAGAAAACACGAAAGGGTCTAAGAACAGTCATGTAGGAATTAGGGCTTCTCCCTCCAAAAGCGTGGTGGGACCAACAGCCCCACTAAAGGCCAGGTTGGACACAGGGGCTTGGAGCAAGCTGCTCTAGTGGAAGGTGTCCCTGCCCATGGCAGGGGTTGGAGCTGGAGGAGCTTTAAGGTCCTTTCCAACACAAACCATTCCATGATCTACACTGATGGACACAGCATGGGTAACAAACAAGAAAAGGAGGAGCTGGAAGCCATTGTGCAGAAGGAGAACAGCGATGACATAGTTGCCAGCATGGAAACATGGTGGGATGTCTGGCACAACTGGAGTGCTGCAGTGGATGGCTCTAAACTCTTCAGAAGGGACAGACAAAAGAAGAGGCAGTGGGGTAAGGGACTGTCTAGAACTTAATGCTGGTATCAACAGGATTGGGTGTTTATGGGTACAAATCGGGGGGGAAGGACAACAGAGCAGATATCATGGTGGGAGTCTGTTCTAGACCACCCAATCTGGGTGAAGAGGCAGATGAAACAGCCTATAAGCACAGTCTCTAGTTCTTATTCTTGTGGGGGACTCAACTTAGCAGACGTCTGTTGGAAATGCAATACAGCAGAGAGGAGACAGGTTGGGAGGTTCATGGAGCAGTGTGGAGGAGAACTGTCCAACACAAACGGTGAGGGAACCGGCTTGGGAAGGCACCCGCTGGACCCGTTTGTGAACAGAGAAGGACTTGTGGGCGAGGTGATGGTTGGAGCCTGTGGTGGGCAGAACAACCACAAAGTGTTAGAGGCTCCCTCTTCAGTCCTTAAACACTACCCTGAAAGACTCATTTTGCTTGTGCTTAGCTGACCCTTCCATTCCCTTGCTCTTCCAAGATGAGGTTGGCATACAGACCCCTTTCCATCTCTCTCCACAGAGTTCCCAGCACCAGTGGCTGTGGAGGTCAAGCCTGAGAACCAGAGCAAGGTCCTGGTGGCCTGGCAGCCCCCCAGCCCCAGCAGGAGGCCCCCTCTGTGGTTCATCGTGGAATGGGTTTCCACCACCCCATACAGCCCAAAGGAGCAGTACTTCTGGAAGAAAGTCCCGTACCAGGCAACATACACAGACATCCAAGGTAAGATGTTCCGAGAGTCTTGTTGCTGCTTGGTGCAGTTCATCAGGGTGTTATTATAAAGCCAAACTACGTTAAAGGCAGAGCTTCATTTGCAGCTGAGCCCCTGCCTACTGCTTTTGGGGAGTGGGACCGTAAAGAGCCCTTAGGGAGCAAGGGGGAATGGAGCAATAGGAGACATGAGGACAGTCAGGAGGATTTGGACCTCCAGATGAAGGTTACAGGGACAGAGAATGAAGTGACAAGTGAGCCGGCAGGCAGGGAAGGCACACCAGACCCGTGGAGGCCTCTCCGAGCACAGGAGATGCACCAAGACTTGCTTTAGCACCTCTCCTCCCCACCATGCCCAGGGGGACAAGCCTGCAGGTCCTTTCCACCCCAGCCTGAGCCCAACAGCACAAGCATCTCAGGACCCATCCCACTCCATTCCTGCATCCCACGTTAATCCTGATGTTTATTGGGCTTTGGAGTCCTTCCTAGCCAGTTACATGATGAAGTTTGCTCTCCCACGTGTGTTTTGGGGGACAACTCACGCAATGGCTATTCCAAGGAGACGAAAGACCCGGAGCTGGGCATCCCCCCACACCTCCATCTACTTTCACCATGCAATAACAAGCACTTGGGCAAGCCTAGAGCTTCCACAGCAGCTCACAACCACGTTTTAAAGGCAAACCTTGCTTCTTTCCAGCAGAGGCAGGAGCTGGAGGTCACATCAATGTGTCAGTATACGCAGTCTACCCCGATGGAGCCAGCAAACCCAGCTCCAGCCAAGGTAAGCCTGGCTGGGTGGAGAAGCTGCTGCTTGCTGCAATGGGGCTGCAGAGCTCAGCCTGCTGCTTCATTCCTGGTGCTCCCACAGTCTGCCAGCTTTGTGGAATTAGGGTTTAGAAACAAACCATAACCCCCCCCCACTGACCAGAGGAAAGCAGGACTCTGGGTGGGAGCCTCTTGGCTGCAGGACATGAAAATAGCATCTTTTTATCAACGCAGCTGTATGAAAGCCTTCTCTAGCTGATCTTTGCTCCTGTGCACAGACCTAACACAGGAGAGCCACCCTCATTTCACAAGATACACCATTCTCCCTTTCCGTGATAGAAGGGATGAGGTTGCTCTTTGCACATTGACAGGGAAACATTGCAGATAAACCAACATACACAAAACAACGTTTACAGAGACCAAATGGCCACGCTGCAGGTTGCTATTCCTTATCTTGGGTGCGAAGAAAGTGGCCTTCCATTCTGGAAACTCTTTTAGGGAAGAGCATGGACCAGTTCACAAAGGAAAGCGAGGACTGTCTTCACCTCCAGCACTGCATGGGTTGGCTTTGGGTGTCCTCAAGAGCTGGGCATACCAGGTCCCTGAGCTGTTCCATCCTGCTGCTGGTCCTCACCCAGGATAACCCATGCACAGCTCAACATCTGAGCACGGAGGACACCTCCCAGCCCCACTGTACCTGCTCCATGGATGCCACAGCACAGGCAAAACCTTCACGGATGCTGCAGTGTTCAGTGGTGGTTGGGCAGGTCCATAGAGATAAGGAAACCATGAAGTCAGATCCAGCTCTTCCAGCACAGCCTAGGAAGGGACGGGGGACCCAGGGATGAGCTTAAATAGAGCCCCGGGCACGGGTGTGGGTAGAGGTTCCAGGTGAGGCAGGTCAGGGCCGTTCAGCCCTGTTAGCACCCCGCATCCCCTGCCAGAGCCGGCTGTAGCTGCAGGCACCGGTAGCACCTGCGGAGGTCATCAGCTCCCCATCCCTGCTGCCGTGCTATTTAAATCGGTTCTTTGAAGCTGCTCAGATGCTTTCCCTGGGCCAAACCAGCTCCGTGCCTGTGGTCAGCACCCCTCATGGCTTTGGGAAGGGCACGTATGCCATTTTTCACCCCAAATAGGAGCAAATATTCCTGGCCAGTTCATCCCAGGCTGCTCGTGGCTGTTAGCCCTGGCTATTAGGTGTTGCCTATTAGGTGCCTGCCCAGAGAATGGGAAAGAGCAGGATGTCAGAAGCAGGATGCTCTAGCCTTATCACTAGCAATGGCTTAGGTATGTGTTAAATGCTTAATAAAATAGAGACTTCATCCTTAGCACAGACTCCTTTAACAAAGCTTGGGGGCTCAGGTGGGAAAGTACCAATAAGGGGCAGCAGTGAAGCTCGTGTCTGTGGCCAGGTTTGCCTTCAAAGCACACACAGTGGAGTCCTCCAGCTTGACCCCACAGGCTGAAACTCGCTCCTCATCCCATTCAGATGAGCCTGTCAATCACCAGGAAGGCATTACTGTTCATGTATACATGTTCAGTGTGCCAGTGACACAGAACTGCTGAATTCCAGGCTGCAGAACACGTATTCCTTCACTTTCCTTCCACAATCCCATATATCTGAAACATGTTTTGAAGCATCTGCAGCAACTTCAGCTGAGTGGGCTTGTAATGGAGACACCGCTTAGGGGAGTGAAATACTGAACTCCAGGAGCTCTGCTAGGAGACGCATGTGCTTCAGAAGCACAGAATCAGAGGCAACACCTTTCCTGGGATTTTTCTTTCCCTTAGTGAGGAAAAAAATTGCATTTGGCCTTGGCTTTGTGTTGGTGTTTGTTAAGGAGAAGAGATCATGGGATCCCAGCATGGTTTGCGTTGGGAGGGACCTTAAAGCTCCTCCAGCTCCAACCCCTACCACGGGCAGGGACCCCTTCCACTAGAGCAGCTTGCTCCAAGCCCCTGTGTCCAACCTGGCCTTGAGCACTGCCAGGGATGGGGCAGCCACAGCTTCTCTGGGCACCCTGTGCCAGGTTCTCAGATCCCAAGGGAATTGCTGAATTTAGCCATGAAGAAAGCTTATTTTAGCAGAGACACTTCTTGCTCTTTAGCTGCAGACCTTCCCTCCCTGCAGAGCCCATCACACAACCAGATACTATCAGCAGATTCAATCCCATGGTATTCAGGCACTTCGGGAAAGCATCTGCAGGTGCTCATGAAGAATGATTCCTCAGGAAGTTCCTCAGGGAGATGGAATTCTTGTTTCAGGTGCTGAGGGGAGCAATGTGCATGGAAGGTGTTCAATAATTGGTGTTATGTATTCATCAGCATCTTGTTTAATCGGATCCATGAGAAGTAGGAGATCATGTAGAGTCCAGCCAGAGCTGGAGTTATTAATGTCTTTAGGGGGCTTTACTTTTTCTCATTATTATTTTTTCTAAATAAGATTTACCAAAACCAAGGTAAGGCACAGCTTCTCTGTCATCCCATAGATGAAGTTATGGGCATTTTCTTTCTCTCCCTAAGTACCTGCAGAAGACCAGCTCCTGGAGAGCACCTACGGCAGCACCTACAGCGAGCTCTCCCATGGTAAGAACACAGGAGCTCAGGCTGGGTAAGCCAGACCTTTCTCCTTGACCAGAAGTGGGAATTGGAGCCTGAGCAGCACCTGCAGCACCTGGTGATGGGGAAGCGAAAGCTCCTTTGTGCTTTGGAGAAGTCAGGGCCACCAAAGCAGCTTTTTACTCAATGGGGACATGAGACACACGCACTGCTCTCAGGGATGGATTGCACCCACATAGTGCGTGCCTTCAGTTTCGCTTCCTAATGAGACTTACACTACGTTGTATGTTACAAGTAGGAGATAAGAGAGCAAGGAAATAGAAGCTAATGTAATGTAGCACAACGGCAGCAGGCTGTTTCAATCTTGCACTTTGAACCAGAGACTCATTTAAGCATTTCCCATCCACTTCTCCAACTTTGGTTATGCTCTGGTGCGCACATCTTCTGCTGTTATGATCTGCTGCATCACTTAAACCAAAGCAAAACCAATGAAAGCTGAAGAATTCACTTCCACGTTTCTGGAAGGTCAGGCTGGGTAGGAAATGGTTAAACACAGTGACCACACTTCTTAGTATCAGTTGAGTGACCTCCTGCCCTGGGCAGAGGGATGCTCTGGTCACAGTTTTGCCTTTGCTTCCTTGACTGGGGAGCAAAGGGGCAAGTGAGATGCTGGAGGCTGTCTTAGCAAAGATCTGCCCTTTACATCACCAGACATCATGGCAATAGGGCAACGGGCTGACCTGATTCCTCTCTGTCCTGTTTCAGATGATGACATTGGACTTTTCCTGGGACTGGGCATCAGCGTGGTCGTATTATCGGTTGTTGTCATAATTCTGATGTTTAAAAAATCAGCCAGAAAAAGGTATGACTTTGACCTCCAGTTTCTGCTCCTCATCTCCAACTCATGCTTTTGTTCCAGAGTGTTTGAAAGCTGCCTACAGAAACCAGTCCTTTTCACTGCAGCCTGCTCTTTCTGAGGGCAAGTCCACCCATTAGCTGGATTGCTGTATGAAAAGACATCTGTGTGCTCTGTAGCGAGTCAGGGACCAACATAGGGTAAAAAGTCATTCCTCTGTATGGGCCGGCCTGAGGGCCATGTGATATTATTATAGAGATATGAAGGCAGGGGTAGAAAAAGAGAGGAAAACCATAATCTCCATTGGTAAGTTTTATCCTAGGGTAAAAGCACATCCCAGTCTTGGCAAAGGAGGGGATGCTGAAGGCAGAGATTGAAGACTGGAGCACCTGGAAAACTCAACAGAGAGCATCTTAACACTGTTTTTTAACTGCTGTTCCCTAGGCACCCTCACAAACTGGTGCTCATCTATCCCAGGTTGCCCTTTAACTGGAATGGGGATGTCCAAGTGTCCAGGCACTGCTGTCCCTGATGCAGACCCATGGGAATGGGAGACCTCTATGGCACGTGGTGCTGGTCAGACCTTCCCAACCAACCATGAAAGAGGGGAGAGGAGAGCATTTAGCTTCCAGGCTTGCACCACCACAAATCAAATCGGGGTGGGGGGGTAAAAGGTTGAAAGATGAAGAGCTGGAGTCCAAATGGAGCTTCCAGGCTATCCTTAAAGGATGGATGCTCTTTGTGTGCCCTCCTACTGAGGGACATTTCATCCTGCATGAAGAATAAGTGACTAATAGCACGGACTAACACCTTGGGGTTTATTTGTTCTTTTTGGCACAGAATTCATGCCCTGGTTGTGTCAATCCTGCCAAAATGGCTGTTTGAAGACATTCCCCACATGGAAAACAGCAACATGGTGAAGTTGCTCCAGGTAACTGCACCGTGAGCTCCCAGCTTTGCTTCACTTGCCTCCCCTTAGGTTAAAGCTTGCTCCAGAGCTGTGAGAAACAAGGGTGGGAAAAGAACTGAGCTCTAAAGGACCAGGAACTGATCAGGAATCTCTTACCCAGGCAGTTGCAAAGCGCATGGGAGCCCAGCTTAGCTGAGGTCTTTAAACCTTGCCTCAATGTGCTCTTTATTGCATACATGATATTGACCACAGTGGATGCAAGCTGCCTTGAAGAGCATGCAGAAGCATAGAGAGAGGCACAGCTGCTCCCTGTCTTCTCTCATCCACCTCACTGCAGTCTCATTCACAGAGGGGACTGGATGAGGGAGGCTGGAAGACAGGATGCAGACACCAAGTCATTGCCCCTTTTCTTCCTTGGGATGCTCCAATGATAGCTCTCCCGTTGGTAAAAATCTGCCAGTTTGTTGCTACCCCAATCATTTTCATTGCAGAAAAACAGTGATTTCCTGAGGAACAGCCTCCATGAGCCGTTTGTGGACACCAGGGACCCCGCAGTTATGGAAGTAGAGGAGGTGCCAGCACACGAGGAGTACAAGAACATAGTCACCAGAAGGAATCCCAGCAGAGAGATCCCCAAGGACGGGGAGCTCAAGGAGAGCACGGTGCCTGCTACCGCCATGCCCTTCGAGCACATCAGTGACTACAAACCTCAGGTGTCCGATGGGAACGCGCTGGGATACGTAGCAGCCAATATTTACCAAACACAGCCCCCAGCATCCCTCCCAGAACCGGAGACAAACCTCTTCTTCAGAGACTACACGAGCCCCTTTCCCCACACGTGGGACGGGGAGGGAGGGGGACACCACGTCTGCCTGCTGGAGCACATCAACCTCGTCCTGAGCAACAGCCAGAGCGGGCAAAGCCACACGTTCAGCTCAGCGCAGGCGGGATGTGGCTCCATCCTGGACAACCAGTGGGGACACGCTGCGGCCGGTGAGGTTCAAGAGCAAATGCTGGTCCCCGATGAGCTGCTCTCCTGCCTGCGAGCCACGAATGGGCAGTCGGTGGATATAAACCCCTGCTTTCCACAGAACATCGGAAGATTACTTTGAGGGATGGTGCAGCTCTGTTTAAAAACCCCCAAAGTGATGATCATGGCACATTTCAGCCTCGGAGACTGCAAACAGCAGTCATAGAAAGGTTTGGGTTGGAAGGGAGCTTAAAGCTCCTCCAGCTCCAACCCCTGCCACGGGCAGGGACACCTTCCACTAGAGCAGCTTGCTCCAAGGCCCTGTGTCCAACCTGGCCTTGAACACTGCCAGGGATGAGCCAAAACCTCCAAATCTGAAAGTCTTGTGGCTGCTGGAATGTTTTGGCCACTACATCACAACCTTAAACTTACCTCATTTTGTCACAAGCATAAACCCCATAAAACCTGCATTCCCATGGGAATGGAAACACGAACCGGGTGATTGCTGCAGGGTGCAAAATGCTTCGATTACTATTCAAAATCATTCTCTTGTTAAATCATAGAATAGGTTTGGGTTGGAATATTTGGAGTATTTCATCCCTGGAACTGATTGCAGCTCAGATGGATAAAACCATCCCTTAGACATCCTGATGGAAACGTGTGGAATATCTTGGGATCACTCCTAATGAAGCGACACTACACCGAGGATGATTTATATATCATACAGCACACACGGGTACCAAGAACATGAAATCTTTTCTTAACTCAATTTCATTTTCCTTCCCGTTAACTAATAAAGAACACATCAGGTAAGAACAAGCCTCCATCATCTGCCAGGCTGATTTTAAATCCCTTGGGATTAGTCACTGGACAGATTCTCCACTATGGGCCAGCGATTTATGATCTCACAGCAGCTTGTCAGCACTCCAACCTTGCTGTGTAAAGCATGATGTGACACAGTGGAACAGCATTTATTAGGCACATGGCTTTGGATCTGCTGACACCCTGAAAATGAAATACAGGGGTCTTCTTAACCTGTATACCTATAACCTATCTAGAGTTACCCACTTTATTAATATGAAATCACTTTTTGCAGTGGAACTGCTATATCTGAGTATTAGAATCTTCCCTTCAATTTTTGTTAAGCACTCTACGTGTTTCTCTAACTGCTGTTGCCCAAATGGACTTATTGTGTTGTCTGCCCCTGGATACCTTCAAACCAGCGTTGTTGAGCGCGGCGCTTGTTTCCTCCTAACAACCCAAGAGACCTGGTGCTCGCGTTTACAGGGTAGTAGCTACCTGGCAAGGCTTCTTTAGAAGCAGCAAGCCGTTTCCGAGCCAGAGATGTGACTTTTACATGTAACTGGGTCTAAAATTAGTGAGTGCTGCCTGTGCAGGAAGGAAATCGTAAGAGAACAGCCGCGGGCTGGCGGCAGCTCAGACGTGAGGTGGGGAAGGTATTTTTTCTATGTCCACATCCTGAGGCTCGCGCTGCCTCTGTCATCTCAACTGCCAAACCCTGCGGGTGAAAATGCTCCTCTGGGCACTAGAGCAGCTTGCTCCAAGCCCCTGTGTCCAACCTGGCCTTGAACACTGCCAGGGATGGGGCAGCCACAGCTTCTCTGGGCACCCTGTGCCAGCGCCTCAGCACCCTCCCAGGGAAGAGCTTCTGCCTAAGAGCTCATCTCAGTCTCCCCTCGGGCAGGTTAAAGCCATTCCCCTTGGCCTGGCCCTACAGGCCCTTGCAAATTCCAACATACAATACATCTCCCCCTCTCCCTCCATTCTAACCCGTTTGGACAGTGCTTGTATCTGGTTGCATCTTTCAAACCCATCTGGCAGTGGGGTAAATGATCTGACAGGGTGGTTGGAACTTAATGGGCTTTAAGGTCCCTTCTAACCTGAACCACCCAATGATTCTATGATACCCGTGATGCTCACCTCTGGTCATGAATGCATTGGTGAGTAAATTGACAGCAGGAATTTTGGTAACAATCCAATATCCCTTCATGTCTTCACTTCCAGATTTTTACTTGTCAGACCTATTTGTTTGCTCTGCTGTTTGTCCTCACCTTCTTTGCCTTTGGAAAGCATTTTGTATCCCTCTTGTGTCTTCTTTCCACCAAGTGCAGTATTTAGGGGTGCAAAACCAGCATCCTGAGTGGCGGGGATTGAACTATTGGTGAGCAAGTCCAACAGCGAGATCCTCATAGTGAGCAACCCATGGATATATGGATGGCCTGGTGCTTCGAGTCAAATCAAGATATTGCTCTCAGTACATCCATTTTAACACCGCAGGGTTTACTCCCTCCCTCCCTCAAATATTACATGCTCAGTCTTGATGTGAACCTTTTCCTAGGTTTGGTTGTCTTGTTGGTGGCCGTATCTCGTGCTAGGTGATTTCCACAGATTATTTATCACTTTGCAATGAATTTTGTGGGTTGTTCAGCTTCATTGCAACATGGGGTTATGCACGTTGGAGGCACATAAAGGAAGTATATGCTGAGTAATGTCTCTACCCACAGAGAGCACCAACAAGTGTTGATCTCTGATGCAACCTTCACCCAACCTGCACGAGATTGCAAAGTCATCTGTGTTATCTGCATGGCATTATTTTATGACAGGACATTTTCTTTCTGTGCTGAATGAGTAACACAGAGAAAGCAGCTGCTGTCGAAGCTGTAGATGGACCTTTTTATATAAATGGAAGGAGAGAACAAATGAATAAGAGATGGGTGTAGTCTCTTCAGAGCTTCAGCAGGCTCAGAGCAGCAGAGCCATCCACTGCCTGCTCTTATCTCCATCCCATCACACTAAAGGGTGTATCAAGTGTGAGCTTGTGAACTCGTTGGGGCACAAGCCCTGAGCTCAGCACTAGGAGTTACCAACAGCACTGGTGCAGATCAGCCAGAGACACTCCCTTTGGCACTTGTTCATCGCCCTTCTTCAAACAGCATGCTTGAAAATTAGTTAAATTAAATGCATAATGAAGAAACAACAAATAAACTTTGTGCAGAGTAATGTAGGCATTAAATGTATGGAATCATGGAATCCCAGCCTGGTTTGTGTTGGACCGGACCTTGAAGCTCCTCCAGCTCCAAACCCTGCCATGGGCAGGGACACCTTCCACTAGAGCAGCTTGCTCCCAGGCCTCAATATCCGTCGAGAGCTACAATTACATGCAATCAACATGCAAAACTGTGCATCAATAGCTACAATTTTAAATCATTGCTGCTGCTGCTCTGCCACCATTACCTTGCTTCCTGCCGGAGGACACAGCACTCATTCTGCTTTAGTGTGTGAAGCACAGGAGAGATGGGTTTTAGTCTCAGCTCAGTCACCAGCTGGCTGTGTGACCTTCACCAAGTCATTTTGCCTGTTTCTCTACCACAGAGCCAGGACAGTAACAATGACTCCCTGCAGCAAAGCCTCGGGCTCTAAAGCACCGTGCGGCATTTGGTGACGGTACAAGAATAGGAAGAAAACAGAAACATTTTCTGAGTCATCTTGTGCTGCTCCTTTCTGTTCTGCATCATCTCCCGACTGCTCCATGCCGAAAGGTCTGCAGCGTTGGGCTGTCAGTAAGTGGGGGACGGGATTTACTGGCAGATAAATACACTGCCGAGCCTAAACAGGGAGTGAAAGCTCCAACGTTTCACACAGCCCAAATCACAGCGGCAGAACCCGGGGGGTTCTGAAGGCGTCGACAAAAGATCAAAGCCCAGGTTGTGACCAACACATGGGCAAAGCTGCAGAGAAATGCTTGGGTCAGCAAGAGCCGCTTGAAAACGCAGCGATGGGAAAGTGATAGCAGAAGAAATGGCCACGGAATGAAAGCGGGAACATCCAATATAAATGATGCTATTTGGTACAGCCTCTCCCATCCCTTTGCCTTCGGGAGGGTTAATCCTCTAAGAGGGATTATTCACGGGTACAGGAGCTGAGCACGACAGTGGGGACTGAAACCAAACTCGCATTTCATAGAAGAGGGTGCGAGAAGTGAGGCTGTGGCTTGTGTCTCGGCTGGCTTCACTGAATGTCGGCTGCACAGAGCCACATCGATGGAAATAGCACTTGTAAAGCCCTGGGAGCAGGATTCAGGTGGACGATCGAAGCATTGAACGCAATGAACAGAAAACAAGCTGTGGAAGAGATCTATTAAAGGAGATTTCAGGACTGCTGCTTACCAAACCAGTCAAGACTTTCCTTAACAGAAAGGAACGATTCTTGCCACAAGAATAGTAGGAAAAAACGCAGTTCTTCACCTCTTAAAGGATGCAGGGTGGTGCTGTGTCTCACACATCACCTGTATGATGCACAATCGCAATCTGCACAGCAGATGCAAAACTAACAGAGCCAGCACACAGACTGTCTGAATACTGAAGATGTACAAACATGCAGTAACTTACTGCAGTGAGTTACTGCCTATTCTGTTGCTTTAGTAGTACCACTGCAGAGCTATGGACCAAAACTCCACTCCATGCTGCAGGGAACCCAGCATCTGAGCAGCTAGAAGTCACTAAAGCAGCTGAAGTGACTGCATGGCTGCAAGAACAGCAGCAGGAATGACCAGACCAGGCTCAGCTCCTGGCAGAACGGTGTGAGCCTGGGCTGTGGTTTGACATTCAGCAGACTGAGAATTCCTGTCCCATCAATCACATGTGCAGTGGTTCCACCTCTTCCACGGTGCTGATGTGAGTCATTGTTCAGAGCAGCAAACTGCATCAGAGAATGAAGATGCTGTGAGGGCTGGAGCAGCCCTGCTCTGGAGAAGAGAAGGCTCCTGAAGGGGAGACCTTAAAGCAGCTCCAGTGCCTGAAGGGGCTGCAGGAAAGCTGGAGAGGGGCTTGGGACAAGGGATGTAGGGACAGGCCAAGGGAATGGCTTTAAGCTGCCAGAGGGGAGACTGAGATGAGCTCTTAGGCAGAAGCTCTTCCCTGTGAGGGTGCTGAGGCGCTGGCACAGGGTGCCCAGAGAAGCTGTGGCTGCCCCATCCCTGGCAGTGTTCAAGGCCAGGTTGGACACAGGGGCTTGGAGCAAGCTGCTCTAGTGGAAGGGGTCCCTGCCTGTGGCAGGGGCTGGAACTGGGTGAGCTTTGAGGTCCCTTCCAACCCCAATCACTCTGGGAGTCTATGACTCTATTACAAGTCTAAGTTATACCCAGCTGATCACAATTCCAAGTAACAACATCTGTGATTTGGTTTTGTTTATTCCATGTTCAACACTGAATTAATGGTACCTTCTTTCAGCTTCTCAAGCGTTACAAAGGCTTTGGTGTTGGCGCTGTATGCCGGGTTGGTGACCACAGAGGGCTGATGTGCCAAGTGTTGGTGTTGCTGGCTCCATCTGCTCCAGAAGTCCCTGTCCTCAGCTGCCCATGGTGGCCCTGCTATTCAGAAGGCTCTTCCTGAGTACCCTGGCTATCGGCTGTTGAAAGCTCAGCACCGAAGAGCCAGAGAGCATCTTGTCCATAGGGACAGTGGCTGATGATAGAGGGTTGGCAGCATCACAATAAAACCACAGACTATGACACTGCAACAGCAAGCAACCACAGTAAGATCAATGCAGTGCTCATGGTGTGTCCAGAGACCTCTCATTCAGTGCTGTACAGATTTCCCTGTGTGGTCCCTGGTACAATCAGCTCTAGAAACTGTTCTCCTTTCTGGAACCGCATCACCAAAACCAGAGCAAGAAACCAACAGATACTCCTAGAGATCCCACAGAAAGAGCAGGCTGGATGGAGTCACAGGGTGTGAGATACCAGTCTGAGAGCAGCCTGTGAAACTCTGAGGCCTTCAAGCAGGCAGAGTAAACAGCTTAGGGGTTTTTAATGATTATCTTGCTGACAAAAGGCAATGGAATTATGTGGAAGACAAACTGAAGGCAAAAGATTGTGGCTTACCCTGGAAAGAGCAGGATGCAAACCCCATTGCAGCTCTGCCTCAGCTGGACTGGACAAGGTGGCAAAATCCCAGCCTGGTTTGTGTTGGAAGGGACCTCAAAGCTCCTCCAGCTCCAACCCCTGCCACGGGCAGGGACCCCTTCCACTAGAGCAGCTTGCTCCAAGCCCCTGTGTCCAACCTGGCCTTGAGCACTGCCAGGGATGGGGCAGCCACAGCTTCTCAGTGCCCACAGTGCCTCAGCACCCTCCCGCGGAAGAGGTTTTACTTAAGATCTAATCCAAGAACTCCAGAGAATCTTATGGAGGAAATACACTGGATAAACAGCCCTGCTCCTGGCTGAGCACCGATGGCAACCACAGCGGCGTTTCGGATATACTCATGTCCTCTTTAAGCACGCAATGATTAACTCCATCACTCTCACCATCTCGGCGCTGGTGACTCACCGCCATTCCCCCACCATTCTTCAGCCTCAAGGTTATTTCCAGACCTACAACCTGACACAACCAGAGAGTGCAAGGGCTGCACCTGCAGATTTCGCTTCTGACTCTGAACTCTCCTTCCTTCAGTCACAATTTCAACCCAAGCACTCGCCTGCTTCCTGACCGGCCTCCAGCCTCCTTCAGTCTTCAGCTTTAACTTTCTCTGAGTCGCATTACAGCAGTGGGACAGGAGGCAGCTCTGCGCCTGTGTTTTTAGACAGCAGATTTTTAACTCACAAAGCCAGCGAGCACCGTGGCTGAATGAGCCATTCCTGCTCCTCGGGACCGGATTGATGGGCTTTTAGGTGCACTTTTGATCCCAGATAAATGACTTTGTCATTCGCTTCCAGAAAGTGGGCATGAACCGCTGCAATAATATACATTCAAATGGTATTACATCATTTACAGCCACTTTATTTTCACCGTCTATAGGGAAAGTCTATATTCTTTACACACCCTTTTTCTGTGTTCCAGCGCTCATTGTGTTATGAGGGTGGGCTGAAGCAGAGAGCATCTTAACACTGAAGGAGCTACCAATGAAAAGTCCTTCCAGATTCATACCGCAGCAAGCTCTGCAGAACTAAGGAGGTGAAGTAAGGGCAGGCACCCCTACATCTTGTCCCAGGGGCTTGCCATAACCACCATCACATGCTGTTGGCAGCAAAGGTCTGCAGGGACACCGTTTATCACCCTCCTCCTGCAAGCAGTCTCCAGCCAAGGTATCTGGTGTTCCCTAAAGAGCTCACTGAACAAGCTTCCTTCGGTCTTGCATTTCCAGGTGTACACAGGCATGGCTCACTTGCTGGTATGGGTTTCACCCTGTGAGAGCCAGGCTGCCCGTGGATCCCGGACAGCACCAGTGCTCTGCAGGATCTGGCCGCTGCCACCACAGACATAGCAGCTTCTCACATCAGCTGCTGCTGGTGCTTTCCCAAGCTGTGTTCCAGGGTCACCCCCCCTCCCCAGAGAGCTGATGACTCCGTTCTTGCCTTGACATCACCCCTGCCCATAGGGCTGGATGCTGGCACAGCAGCCTTAGCACCGGCACCTTATGCTTGGGCTGCTGTGCTGCAGCCAAGCCCGGGGCAGCAGGGCTGCAGTGAGCACACTCTTTGCTATAGGACTCACAAGCAACACGTGTGTGCTCCTGGAGCTTTGTGCTCCATGCAAGACAGTGAACCAAGAGTTGGCTGAAAAAGCAGGCTTTGGTGCTGAGAATTAAGCAAAAAAAAAGAAAAGAGAAAAGGAAAAGGGAAAAAAGAAAGAAACAAGAAAAAAAGAAGAAAAGAAGTAAATAGAAGAAAAGAGAAAATAAAGAAAGAGAAAGAAAAAAGAGGTAAAAATTAAAAAAAGAAAAAGAAAAAGAAAAAAGAACAAAAGGCGAAAGAAACAAAAGCAAGCGACTGCAGCTGATGTGTTGGTGGTTGCCAGTTTAGCTTCCTGTCCCCATGACACAAAACTTGTGTCACTTGGGCCATCTGATGGGCATCTTCTCTTCATCAATGAGCAAAGCACCCTCAGCTCTGCTCCTGCCAGCCGAGCCCAACGTGCCACAGCTGCTTCCCAGGCTTTTCCAAAGAGGAGAAGTGAACACATGCAGCGAGGGGTAGCACTGAACCGGGTAAGAACATGAGAACATGAGCCTTGCGAACACAAGGTGAGATCCCATCCAAGTTCCTGATGGCATCCTGCAGGAATCCTGGTTTTGGCTCAGGGCTGGGAAGTGCTCTTTGAAAAGTGAAAATGGAGATTGAAGTAAAGGCAGCCCCAGGGGAAGCAAGATACAGAGTGAAGAGAAACTGGTGGGGTCTGGAGTTCTGTAGGGCACAGCCTTGTTCCATTCGTGCGTGGTGTTTGAATGGGGATCTCCGGAGAGAAGCCCAGATGCGGGATGGAGCCGGGAGGAGAGGGCAGCTGGGCTGCAGGTTCAAGCGCAGAACTCCAGGCTCCTGCAGGCTGCACACTTTGTGCTTCCTCCACCTCTTCCTTCCAATGCCAGCCCCCAGCGTAGCTGTGCGACGCTTGTCAAGGTAGAAAAGGAGCCACATCTGAGAGATGCTGCCAGGAGAAACGTTGCTGATGTCCAGAAAGGACAAGGAATGATGGCAACACGATGCTTTGTCATTAGAAGCGCTTCAAAATGTGGCGATAGCTCGTGGGAGAGCTGAAAAAAAAAACCCACGACAGAAAGCAAGGACTGTGTTAAAGAGAAGGTAAAATCCGCAGTGGCACATCCCAGGACAAGCCCCTCACCCCTGCACGGGAACCTGCTGCTGTTTCCCAGTCCCAGAAGCGCCGTCAGTGACTGGTTTGTCCCTGGAGCTTCCCGGACCTTTTCCAGGTAATTCCCCCCCTCCCTTCCCTCATCCCCAGGCCCGGTGCCGCTGCCGTTACGGGGGAGCTGCCGCCGTGCCCCGCATCCCCCCCCCCCCCCCGTCTCCGCCGCACCCGCTGCGGGGCTCCGGAAGGTGAGCGGGGACGGACGTTCCCCCCGGCTCCTCCAAGCGCGGCTTTTGGGTCCTCAGCGGCGGTCCCCGGGGCTCAGGGAGACGCGGCACCTCCCCGGTGGGACCTGCGGGATGCTGTCTGCATCGGGATGCGGCTTGTTCCGACACGCGGCTTGTTCCGACGTGCTCCTTGTCCCGGGATGCTGCCGCCTTCGGCATGCTTCCTGTCCAGGGATGCTGCCTGTTCCGGGTGCTCCTTACTCTGGGATACTCGCTGCCTCAGAATGCTTTACTCCTTGGGATGCTGCCTGCTTTGAGATGCTCTCTGCCTAGGAATACTCCCTCCCTTAGGGTGGCAGCTACCTCGGGATGCTGCCTGCCTAGGGATGCACCCTGTCCTGGGATACTGAGAGCACTGGGATGCTCCCTGCACCCTGGGACAGTCACCTAAGGGAGGACATCCTTCAGAATGTCCCTTTCCTTCCTGCAGTGAGGTCTTACCAAATACCCCTCGCTCAGCAGCTCTGGTGAAGAGTCACTGACCTTGACCTTGGGCAGATGGCACCAAGGCTGCCGTTCCCCACCCTGGGCTGGGTGCTGCTGTCCTCACTGGGTCTGTGGCAGCCGGATTGCTCCCCATGTGCCTGCCAGTGGTGGGATGTGTCCCACAGTGTTGTCAGTGGTACATGAGAAGCAGCAAAGTTTGGGCACTAACAGTGGTTTTATTCTGGGTAAACGTAACAGTGAGAAATGCTCCTCTTCCTGCTGACAGTCGGTCAGTTGCTCCTGCAGGTTCCTGAGAGAGCCTTAGAATGGACACTTGCTCTGTGGGCAGCAAAGGGAAAAGTGGGGGCAAGGGAATAAAAGATCAGTTAAAAGCAAACTACAAGGACCTATAAGGACAGGCCAAGGGGAATGGCTTTAACCTGCCAGAGGGGAGACTGAGATGAGCTCTTAGGCAGAAGCTCTTCCCTGTGAGGGTGCTGAGGTGCTGGCACAGGGTGCCCAGAGAAGCTGTGGCTGCCCCATCCCTGGCAGTGTTCAAGGCCAGGTTGGACACAGGGGCTTGGAGCAAGCTGCTCTAGTGGAAGCGGTCCCTGGCCATGGCAGGCATTGGGGCTGGACGAGCTTTAAGGTCCCTTCCAACCCAAACCAGGCTGGGATTCCGTGCTGAAACTGCAGAGCTTCTGTGCTTTACGAGGGATTTCATTGCAGAGCCTGACTGCTGCAAAGAGCCGACACAGCGATGGGCAGCCCCTCAGTACACAACACACAGGCTGTGTAGCCTTTGTGCTTTCAAGTGAGATTTCATAGAGATAAGTCTGCTTGAAGAGGCACAAACTCATGCTCTGAACACCTTGCGTACTTCCTTTACCTTGCACTTACCAGGACATTGTCCTTTATACTTTCTTTAAGTGAAGCACATCAATGCTATTTTCCCTCATTGATGTGCAATCTGGAGACTTTTTTCTTCTTAAAGCTCCCCCCCCCCCCCCCCCCCTTATATCTTTGCTCTTTGAGGGTAATTTCTCATTCTTCTTTTATATGTCACCCTGATCACAGTTTAAATGCTCTGCTGCACTCACAGGATGCTGCATAAACTGTCTAGCACTTACCTAAGGCAACCACCGATGAACATCATTTGAAGTGAGACTATTTCTGTCAGTTGACTCAAGCACCGTGGGCACATTTTGCTGTCTGAAGGATGTTTACACAGTACCAGGCAATTTCAGCTTAGTGGAAGGCAGGGCATTTACTTGAAGAACTCATCATTGATTGCTCATCATTGCAGTTACTAATCACCCATGGAAGGCACCACGAAGAGTCTTTGTGTAAAGCTGAGGCACTGTGGCCAGGCTCAATGTTTCCGTCTAAAGAACATCTGGGTTTAGATAAAACAAGGTGTTAATATGCACTTTAGAATCGTAGGATAGGGTTGGAAAGGACCTTATTTTGGCAAAACTTAAGTATTTCACATTCACCTCAGGTATCAGCTTAAAAGACATGGAGTGGCTCCTGTCTGGGAGCATTTGGGCATCCTAAACCAACCTGAAATAACTTTGGTGGTTTTATATCAATATACACATGGCAAAGGCTATATTGTTCAACGCATCTCCATGGAAGTGCCCCTCCATCCAAGATGGCATGTAAAACAGCCAGGATTTAAAGATTTCCTTTACATCAGTTTGTTTCCAATGTGACATCAAGTTATTGAAGTAGCTGCATCCCTGTTATAGGTCAGGAGTTACAGAAGGTGTTTGTTGGTGTATTCACTTCTGAAGCATCTGGTGTATTCACACTGCTCCCATAGGCCTGCAGGGTCAAAAAGGAAACAGTTAAAGATGGTTGCAAAATACATGGGGAAATCCTGAGCTTAGTTCATGCTGACCCTGAGTAATTTGTACAGAACGTTTGTGTTCATGACTTCCACCACCGTGGAGCGTGGGCTTGATGTGGGTCTGATCTAGGAAGTCTGGACGCAGCATAGGTTTGCATTTGAACCGAGTTGTTGAGCAAGCCCGTGGAGTTCAGAATGTTTCAAGAGCTGCTTTGTTGGGCTGTGTTGCTGGCAGTGTGCTGAGTGCATGTCCTCAGCTCCATCCATCCATCCATCCATCCATCCATCCATCCATCCAGGGTCAAACAGTCATCAATGCACAGGGTGCCCAGAGAAGCTGTGGCTGCCCCATCCCTGGCAGTGTTCAGGTTGGACACAGGGGCTTGGAGCAAGCTGCTCTAGTGGAAGGGGTCCCTGCCCGTGGCAGGGGTTGGAGCTGGATGGGCTTTAGGGTCCCTTCCAACCCAAACCATTCCATGGCTCTATGATTCTATGAAATAAGCTGCATGTGAGGGCTTTCCTTTTGGGAAGAAGCCTAAAGAAATCATAAGATTGATGGTTCCCAAGGGATTATCCAAAATTTCATGTGTACTACTCCGGCCTGGGAATCTCAAGACTGCATTAGTCATCTGGGATGAGATCAGTTCTTCAGGATTTGGGGTCATCAGTACAAAGTCTGAGCCCAGACCAGCTGAAGAGCTCATGAGGTCCCCTGTGGGGTGCATAAACATGGCTGCTCCTCCGAAAGAGGATGCAGGAATTTGGGAGAGAGGGAGCTGTGAAGGAGCAGGGCCTGCAAACCATGTTTTGGGGAGCAATAGCACGATGGGTACTGATGGTTTGTCCTTCACAGAAAGACTTCTGGTTCTGGGCTTGCAGGGGGGCTTTGGGAAGGAAGGGAGCAAGGATTCAGTTCTTTACCCATAGAGCTGTCTGGTTTTTAAGTACAGCATTTTGAAGTACCCATAACTCTGCCATTCCCCTCGATCTTGTGCCTGTCTCTAGGGAAAACCATCTAAAAACTGGCTGCTGCTTGGGATGGGGTCTCGGGAGTCACAACTCAGCAACATTAGCAGAGAATGCTCAATAGGGAAAAGTCTTGTGAAGCAAGAGCTTTGGCTCTTCTGAAGCTGTAAAACAGTAACACACAAATACCTGTACATTATTTTCCCACCTTTTAGGAGCTGGTAAAACTCCTTCATTTCTCTACAGGGAGCACAATGCTGTTTGCTGCCGTGCCCGCTGTCATTTGGTTCTTGGCGCGCCTCGCAGCAGGTAAGATGTGTGGTTTTATTCCTATGTAGCAATTATCATTTTAAAGAAGCACTCAGGTTAATTGGGGGGGTTTCAGCCTCTGTGCTGTGTGCTGGTAAACATCTTTGTATAGAAGAGAGCAAAATATGCTGCTTGATTAGGGTATGCTGTAATTTCTGTGAGAACTCCCTGATCCATTGCTACCACCGAGCATCCCTCATTCTCCATGGCAATGCCACTTACCCTGACCATCCAGAGAGGCTGTGGGCAGCAGTGCCTGGTCTGGCAGCACCCCACACACTGGGAGTAACCTGGGCAGGGGTACAGCCTCACAGCAGCAGCAGCAGCAAATAGCATAGCAAATACTTGCAGTAGAGCAAATTAGTTACAGGGAGTTCTGCAGGGGGGTTATTTGGTTTAGTTCAAGGCAGAGCTGTTGGTTAGGTGAGGAGCATCTCCATACTTAGCTACCACAGAGGCTTCAGAACTCACAGGTGAGGAGAAATGGGGCTCCCAAAGTGTTTTCCCATATCTTCTGCTGCTTCTAATCTGGTTTGAGCAGAGCACGTGTGTCCTGGGGCCTGCCAGCAAGTGCCTGCTCCCATAGCGGAGCACAGCATCACTTGTCCCCATCTGCATCCTGTGTTACCTGGAAAAGACAGCAACATGCAAGGGGAGGTCTCACCATGTCAGTGGAAACCTTACTTGTCTCTTCAATAAGAACACACCACTGCTTTGCTGAAACACAGATATTGCCTTAAACTGCAGTGAAACAGTTCTGATAGATTTTGCCTGGGGCTGTGCTAGTTGTACAGTGACTGGTAGCGAGCCCGTGGTTTCTTACCCAGTTAATAGGCTGGTGAAGACTGGGCACAGCAGTATCCCAGAAGATACCACACACAGGCAGGAGCTCCTGCATTGTTATCAGAGATACCCTCTTCCTGAAGCACAACACGTTGTACAAGTGCTGTATCCACCCTGAACCTTTGTTTTCCCATTCTGTTGCAGAAGCGAGCAGTAAAGGGGACGTGACTGCTGGCAGACTTCCCCATGGCGCCGCAGAACTGTGTGACAAAGGGAATATGACTGCTAACACCTCTTCCCATGTCCAGCCTGGGAGCAGCATCACCCTCTCCTGCCAGCTGAAACCCCAGCAGCACAGCAAGCAGTGCAGGATAGCTATTTTCTTTAACAGCTCTGAACGCAATAGCAGTTACAGCAGTTCAGTAAGCACCAGGTTTCTAGTCCATACCTATGGCAAACACATGTTTACGTGCAAAATACTTTGTGAATATGGGAAAAAACTCATTTGTGGAATCGATATTGAGTCTGGAAGTAAGGAGGCTTTCATTATTCCTTGTTCTTACCCCCCCCCCCCCCCATGATTCTTATGACTCCCTGTGGTACCTCTGAGATATGCACTGGAAACCAGCAGCGGGTGGCCTTTCCCAGAAAAGATGCTGGGTTTTGGTGGCTTTTTGTAGTGAAAAGATTCCTGGCTGGAATTGTGCAACTCCTTTATTCATAAACAGAGAGCTGCTACAGAAAACTGCCTGCTCAGAGCAAAGAGCATCCTGGCAGCCCCCAGGACACAGGGGACTTACCTGGAAGAAAAACTCTAAGAGAGATCTTTGATTTTCTTCTACCGTGATGAGCTGCTGCTGCTGCAGCTCTGCTAGTGCTGCTTTTGTCTTTTACATAAGAATAATTGGTTGCTTCAAGCAAAGCTTATGGTGCCTGGTCCAGGGAGCTGGTAAAGCCTTGTAATCATCTGGCACCCCTGTAAAGTCACTTGGGTTTCACTCAAGTGTTTCAGCAAGCTGCAGAGATCAGGATCAGCTCTTGTCACTCAGAAAAATCATCACCCTGAGTATTTTACACTTATTTGCCCATAAACACTTTAAAAAAGAATCAGCACAAACCCAGCATTTCTTAAAAAGTCTGCCAACAACATCTTTAAGGAAGGGTCTGACAAGAATATCTGTTTAAGATCCTCCAGATGAGCCAAGAAACGTGTCGTGTGTCCAGCATGGAACTGATGGTCACCCCATCTGCACCTGGGATAAAGGCAGGCTCACGTACATCAACACTACATATGTAGTACAGTAAGTAACGGGGTTCTTTAACACGTATGGCTTTAACCTGCCAGAGGGGAGACTGAGATGAGCTCTTAGGCAGAAGCTCTTCCCTGTGAGGGTGCTGAGGCGCTGGCACAGGGTGCCCAGAGAAGCTGTGGCTGCCCCATCCCTGGCAGTGTTCAAGGCCAGGTTGGACACAGGGGCTTGGAGCAAGCTGCTCTGGTGGAAGGGGTCCCTGCCTGTGGCAGGGGTTGGAGCTGGAGGAGCTTTAAGGTCCCTTTGAACCCAAACCACTCTGATTCTATGAAGATTTACCCTTATCAAAGCACACGGAAGAGCTGGTTTATGAATGTCAGTCCAAAGCTGCCGTGATCATAGGAGCCAACTGGAGCAGAGGGTTTTAAAGCCCCTCTTCTGCTCCCATCTGTGTGCAGGCACTGCAGTACATTGGCTCTTTCTGGGCTCAGCAGGCAAAGAGGGTATGCCAAGACAGCTCTCTTTTGGAAAGGGAAGGTCGGCAAGGGAAGTGGTCTTAAACCAGCTGCTCAAACCTGCTGTTTTCCCAAGGTGGATCTCCTCTATTTAGTAACCCTGTGGTCAGAGCAGTGCCTGCACCAGAAAACCTGCAATCAGAGCTGCTCACGGTCTCAGAGGTTGCCTGAGGAGACAGCGAGGGACTTTGCTTGGAAATGTGTTATTTTTGCTTCCCGATTTAGACCCAACCTGTATTTTTACTCTCTCTGTTTTTGCTGAGCCTTTGCTGAAAAAGATTTTGGCAACTTCTACAGCGAACTGTGGGGAAGGAGCAACCTAGAGCCTGCCAAGGCACGTTAGGAGACGTTTAGATTTCAGGAATCCATTGTGCCTAGGAGGAACCTTATTAAAAACCTTGGTTCAAGCAAATATCTGAGTAGAATGAATTGATTTTGCCCTTTAAAATGGCTGTGTAAGATGAAATAGGCCACAGTAGTTTCTGGTGCTGCCCGTTGACCTTGCTTTGCGAGGCTCATTCTTCACCACCTTCTGTTGGCCAAAGTAGCAGCAACTTCCTTAGTAGTGTGCAGAAACCTGGTGCTGCTCTTTAAGCAGAAGAAGGATTAGGTAGCATGGAAGACAGTAAGGAAGTGTGGGTAATGAGACCTGTAACTGTTGTAATATAGAGATGTAGCAGTGCTTGCTAGTAAGTTATTAAATACATCACAAAATACAAAAGGTCCACCTGAAGCAACGTGATAGAAACATCTCTGATTCAGGTGGAAGATAATACACAGAGAAGCTAAACGAGCTCACCAAGGCAATGGGTTGAATGGCAGGTTGAGAATGAGAGGCTGTTTTTGAAGTCATGAGGTCTGACCGTTACGCTACAGATAAGTTATGCTTTTAATCACTGACTTAGGTAAAAGCAACAACAACAGAAACCTCCCAAATCAATCATCACCCCAAACTCTTTGTACCAAAACCTATCTGTGCTCATCATATTAAGAGAAATATTAAGCAACCAATATGAGGTAATCATCATAAGGAACTTACTCGCATACTTGTGCAGCTTAGTGGGAAACCAGCAGCATTTCCTCTGTCTGCAACCGAACCCAAAGAGCACTTTAACACCTTTACTGCTGAGTTAGCTAAAGGAGTATCTACTGTAACCCTGCATATAGATGGATGTCCCATGGGGCAGGTGACCTACCTGGACTTTAGTGCAGTGGTCCTCCTTCAAAAGCCAGTGTGCAGGGGAGATGCTGAATGAGCCCTAGGGGACCTGGGGACATAGAGTCAAGGCCAGGCCCCAACACACTCATGGTTCAGCTTTCTTGGCGTACAGGACAGCATTAACCAAGCTTTTTCCTTCTCTCCCAGGCTATCAAATGGGACAGATGTCTTATACATCTCAGAAGAAAGCCTGGACACGAGGTTTGGCTCGCTGGCTCTGAGCAAGCTGAACTTTGACTCTACTTACACCATCGTGGTTGCCGCCTCCAACGAGCTAGGAAGTGCCTTTTCACAGCCTCTCGTGTTCATGTTAATAGACATAGGTAAAAGCCTTAGTTAGCACTTCTCAGTTAGGTACAGCCCTTGGGAAAGACACAAAACCATTCTGAGCACCTTGTTTACACCTCTCAGTAAAAGCCTCATCTCTAAACCAGCAATTCTATTTCCACGCAGCCGCCGTTCCGAGCGGCGCCGCGTACCTGACCGCTGTTTGCTTCTCTCTGTTCTTGCTGCTAGTGAAACCACATCCTCCCAAGTTTTCAGTGGAATTTGAGCATTCTTCTGCCACCAACTGCACCCTTTCTTGGCACGACGAAGCACAAGCGCAGCTCTGCAGGCTGAGATACCGTCCACTTACCAGGCACGCCTGGAGCATGGTAATCCTCTCCTGAAACAGGAGGTTATGAAACTTGAGGATGCTTTAATATTGTTACTTCTTGCTGAATCCTTTTGCCCAAATTTTCCTTTCTTTGCCCTTTCGTACCATGTTTAAGAAAAGCTTTTGCCTGCCAGTCAAAAACATTCATTGGTCTAAACCTGAATGAAGGTAAAACACTGATCCTCTAAAAAAACCATGTGTGTAAGTATTTCCCTTTATGTCAAACATTGAAGAATCTGAGGTTATGTTTGACCCACCACTTTGTTGCAATATGGTCATATTGAGGGTTGGAACTAGATGATCTTAAGGTCCTTTCCAATACTTACTACTCTACGATTCTATGTCCTTTGAAGGTCCCTTCCAACCCAAACCCTATAGATACTATAAAACTATTCTATGATATCTGCTCATCGTAGCTCATAGCTACAGATGTGCAAACATTGCCAAGGGTTTGGGCCTTCCCTAGCATCATTGGAAGTCTTTGCTTTTAAGTGGTAAAAGCTGTATTGCTCGAAGCAGAGTAACAGGAAGTTTGTTACCTCCACACCATTAGCTGAGGGATTTTTCAGATGAAGAACTGGAAGCCTGATGATTCACTGCATCGGTCTTCAAGTTGTTAAATTCGCCCCAGAATCGGGTTTTCCCCACTGCTGTTTGAAGATGTGTTTTCATTGCTGGGCTTCCTTTGGACATCAGTAATTCAGCCGGTCACTGATCTCAAACTTTATTTATTTCCTTGGGAGTTTAATGTTAAACATCCTTTGTCTTCATTAAAGGTTGAAAACGTTCAAGGTGAAAAATGCAGTCTTTATGGTCTGGAGCCTTATACAACCTACGAGTTCCAGCTCAGCTGTAAAATCCACCCCAAGCAAGGACTGTGGAGTAACTGGAGCACGTACCAGAACCGGACTCCAGAGGCAGGTAACACAAGTCAGCATCTCCTGCACTAACCCAGTGTCTAACGTTCACGTACAAGAGGAGCCTTCAACCAATGAAGTCAAAATGCAGCTGGGTTTTTGCAGGTTGCTTTGCAGAGCCTTTGTCGATGCAGACTTGGAGCTAACAGGGAAGTAACTTCTGTAAGAGAATTGCTTTTTGAGCGAACAAAAAGTGAAGCTGTTCCAGTTTCTCACAAAACAGGAGTTTGAGAGTTCACCAAGAAGGTCTGAGGATACATTTATGTGATGTTGGTGAAGGGTGGAGTTGTAGCGGCCTCCTACATCATAGAACCCTAGAATGGTTTGGGTTGGAAGGGCCCTTAAAGCTCCTCCAGCTCCAACCCCTGCCACGGGCAGGGACCCCTTCCACTAGAGCAGCTTGCTCCAAGCCCCTGTGTCCAACCTGGCCTTGAGCAAGGCATCACAACACATCAGGAAAAGGCAGAGTTAGGTGAGGAAAGAGATATTTTTCACACTGGTTCATATCTAATGGTTTTAATGAATCCCTGCAGCAAGTCCCTAACTCAAGTCAGGACAGCTGCGGTGTCACCCCAATGACACACAGCTTGGGCAGCACATCCTGGGATCTTGAGTTTCCTCAGCCATTTGGGAAGAGGTTGCTCAAAGAAGAGGTGAATGCTCCATCCCCAGCAGTGCTCAAGGCCAGGTTGGACACAGGGGCTTGGAGCAAGCTGCTCTAGTGGAAGGGGTCCCTGCCTGTGGCAGGGGTTGGAACTGGAGGAGCTTTAAGGTCCTTTCCAACCCAAACCAGGCTGGGATTCTGTGATTTGCAGAGGAGCTGAATGGATTGGCTGGAAACCGTGCTCTCCCAGTCCTGCTGCTGCTGGCAGGTTTGAACAGAACAGTTCAGTTTTGCCAAGTCATCTCTTCCCAAGCAGTTAATTCACTTGGAGCCTCCCCACATGACCCCTCCATAGCGTGGTGGTGTCACTGGACACCTCTATAGCTTTGGCAGAGCAGAACCTGGCCAGGCGTTTGGGTAGATCCTACCAGGAATTAGATGAGGAAAGAGCATTTCTGCCCCAAAGGATGCCAGAGCAGCCTCCAGCTCACACTGCACCAAACCAAGGGTGATTCTACTGGTTTCTGCCAACTCTAACCCCTGAGCTGGCCAGGGCCTGCCTTCACCCGGAGCTGCACAGACTCACATGCTGCAATACTTTCAGTTCTTAGGGGAGAAGACAGCTTCTCAGAAGTCTGTGCCTCAGCAAAGATGTGTCAGCTCTTGGGCAGCCCTTCCCTTCATCTCTACTTTGCTTTCGTTGCTCTTTCTTTTGTAAATTACTATAAGCTCTTGAGGCTGGTGCCGTTATTACTCATCCTATTTACCACTACTGACGGCATCAGTTTCTGTAAGCAGCATTGATTGATGCAAAAGGTGGAAACTTTTCCTTCTCTCCCCCACCTTCCTCTCAACAGTCCTCTCAACCTCCTCGATGTACCCTGGCTTGCTGCAGCATCTGTAGTCATCACCCCTCTACCAATGGGTGCTGTGAATGAGAACCTTTATAGCTAACCAAGGAGCGTTTTCTGCCCGCGGTGACAGAAGGGGAGGCTGCAGCTGAGGAGCTCTGGGTCCATCTGGGTTGCCCTTCTCCGAAGCTCCGCACATGAGCTTGGCCTTTTGCAAACTCAGGAGTGCACCATTCCAGTGAGAACTTTGCTCCTCTTTTTCCAAGCATGCCCTGCACAAAACTTGCTTTACGCAGTCGCTGTTCGTAAGAGAGAATGTTTGCTCCCTGCAGGTTCTTCATGGTGGTTCACAGGGAAATGAAGTTTCAAATCCAGGCTGGAGCCCAGCAGATGCTATCCCACATTTTACTTTTTCCTGCTCTGAGCTTGCCCCTTCCTCCCTTGCTCACAGTGAGCGTGCTCTGGTTTTACTCCTTCTGCCAGCCCTGCTTCTTGTTTCTATCCCAGTCACCGTGTGCAGTTGCTACCGAACAAACAGCTCATAACATTGCTGGCACCAAGCGCTTTTTCCACCTTTGAGCGCAGCGAAGAGCAGAGGCAGCCCCATTCGAGCTGGGGTTGTGCAACAGCGTTTGCTGAGGTTATTAGCAACAATTATTACCCGAATGCGATGAGTTTCTGCTGCTCAGGGCCCTTGAGGAACCAAGCTTTGCTGCCTTCTGCCACACTGGCTTTCTTTATGCGTGCGTCTGGTTCTGAGCTGCTGGAGCACAGTCACCAGTTTCTGCAGCCAGAACCTTGCTGCAGTGCTGTTTCAGAAGGTTTATGCAAAGCACCTGGGGTTTCCAGTCACACTCTGACTATAAGGAGTGGCATGGAAAGAACAAGGGGTTTAAGCTACCTCCGATGAGGTCCTCCCAGCTACCTGTTAAAGACATTTACTGCCTAGAGCCAGACAGCAGAGTCCTACAGACCTTACAAACCCTATCGTTGGCTTAGGATTGATGTAACCAAACCCAAGGACCTCAGCTTCGAAGTGTAGGCTTCCTTGGGAGCCATTCTGATTCCCAAGTGCAGGGTAAAGTCACTGGCAGATCAAAACCTTCTCTTGGGCTCCATGACTACCATCCTCAGTGCCGCTGAACCCCAGCTACAACAGCCAATATGGGGTATTGCATACTGCATCCTTTCGGGGACATTTTAAATCTTAAGTTTCGATTGCCTCAGCATTTTTACCTCTTCACCTGCTCGATGTCTTCTTTGTCTGCTTCCAAACACAGCTGTTAATGCTGTGTGCCTTTTCCTTCCATACCAGTGCCAACAGGGGTCCTGGGCGTCTGGTACCGACAGCAGGACGTGGGCTCCCAGCAGCAGAACATCTCTCTGTTTTGGAAGGTGAGTTCAGGGAAACCTAAGCAGAGGCAGCAATAACCAGCGAGGTTAGAGGAGGAACTCTGGTTTACGTGCGCACAAGAAAGGACTGAACCCAAGGAGAACACAGGGATATAGAATCCCAGACGGGCTGGGGTTGGAAGGGACATTAAAGCTCACAAAGGATTCAGATTCAAGCCCAGCTGTAGGGTGAAAATTCCACATCACTGCACATCACCATCCAGCTCAGGAGGAAAGGGTTACTCCAGCACTCCCACTAAACCCAAGCCCTGTTACGGGCGTGAGTTTCTCCATCATTACCAGCCCAATCCTAAAGCCAGGTCCCAGGGGAATTTCTGGATTGTGGGGCACTTCCTTTCAAAACGAGTCAGATTATTCTTGTTTTTAAAGCCTAAATTATCTTCAGCTTCCAGTCTGCAGTCTCCAGGCGCCCGTCCCGTTCCCCACACCTCTTCTCCCCCAGCAACAAGCACCACGCTGTGGGTGAAAGCACAAATTCTCACAGCATTACATGACCCAACCACCGCGGCTTGACGATAGTGAACTTAAAGACCTCTATGTTGTGATAAGGAGCTGGCGACACTTTCTGTATCACAGCAGACTTCCTGCTGCATCGCCCATAGAAGGGGTGCGATACACTGCGCTTAGAGCTTTCATTTCAGCCTGCAAAGCAGAAGGCTCAGCACAAGGCACTACCAATACATGTCCTCCTTGTACCACACCGATCCCAAAGGAAGGATTGCCAATTTGGAAGCATGGAATCAACCAGGCTGGAAAAGCCCTTTAAGCTCACCCAGTCCAACCATCCCCAGCGCTGCCAAGGCCGCCACTGACCCATGGCACCAAGAGCCTCAGCAGACACATTTTCCTATTTTTAAAAGTGTTTCCCCCCCTTCCTTTCCTTGTTTTGTTCTGGCAAAACCCAGCCAAAACAAAATGAAGTCACTGCAGGAAACTGAAAGTGATAGTGCAACTGCAGACACTGGGGTGGAGAGACCAGCAAGAGGTGTTACATGGGACGGCACGGGCTGATCTGCAGAGATGGGTATTGCACGTGGCTGAATTTAAATGATCCTTTATCGTGGATAATAATTCTTTCTCATGGAATAATAATAATTATTAATCTAGAATAACTGATTAGATCTTAGGCAGAAGCTCTTCCCTGTGAGGGTGCTGAGGCGCTGGCACAGGGTGCCCAGAGAAGCTGTGGCTGCCCCATCCCTGGCAGTGTTCAAGGCCAGGTTGGACACAGGGGCTTGGAGCAAGCTGCTCTAGTGGAAGGGGTCCCTGCCCGTGGCAGGGGTTGGAGCTGGAGGAGCTTTAAGGTCCCTTCCAACCCAAACCAGTCCATGATTCCATGATATTTCCATGATTCCATGCACTTCCCTCACAGGCTTTGAGCAAATCGGAGGCAAGAGGAAGAATCCTGCAGTACACGGTGACCTTCAAAGCCCTGGACCAGCAGAGCCCCGTGGCAGAAGCACACCTTACCACCCAAACCAGCTATGCCAGGGTCATGCCAAGGGTAAACTACAAGATAACAGTCACTGCCGAGAACTCAAGGGGCAGATCCCCCCCTGCATCCATCACAACAGACCTGGGCATCCAGGGTAAGGGCTTCGGATGGGTCTGGAGAGTGGGAATCACATCAGCACTCTGCTTTGTGCTACATGCTTGGGTCCCGGCGCCTCGTGCTCATCAAGGTCCATCTCAGTGACCCTTCAGGGATCTGTAGGTCTAGTTTTCAGTGTGGTCAAAACCCGAGGGCAGCAAAATGAATGAATGAGTGCTCCCTGAACTCCCCCAGCCCCGAATTCCCTGTGCTGGTACCGGACACAACGGAGCCTCACCTTGTCGGGTGAATTGCTCCAAAGAAGCAGATCTTTATTTGACCTTGTCCTGGTGCAACATCAGTCAAACAGTGACCAAGCCATTACTCTTTCACCTTTCCCCAGTGCTGCATGGGATGCTTTCCTTTGGGAGCGGATGCACGGCCCCTCAGCTCACAGGCTGCATTGATTGCATGAGCCCTTCATTGAGTGGAGACAGGACTGGCATCTGATTATGCGGAGGCAGTAGGAAAAGAACTGCTTTGTGGGCTCAGATCAATTGTATTTGTTAGGAAAAAAAGTTAGAGAAGATGCTTGGAGGGGGCTTGGAGCAAGCTGCTCTAGTGGAAGGTGTCCCTGGCTGTGGCAGGGGGTTGGAGCTGGATGAGCTTTAAGCTCCCTTCCAACCCAAAGCAGGTTAGGATACTATGATTCTATGAAAGCAAGACCTAGACTAGATGTCCCAGCACCCTGTCCAGCATCTTTAAAGCAGCTTTTGTCTTGTGGAGACCATGTGTGTTTGTGGCTCTGCACAGACCAGGGTGTTAGTACATGCTGTGACAGCATCTCTTCAGGTTTGGGGATGGTGGAACAAGCAGTGCTAAGTTCAAACTGCTGCACTATGGGAAAAGACAAGAGCATGGCTCTACTCCTATCAGCATAGAGATCACCCTTGTATAAAGACCTTTTCTATCAATTGCAGCTCATTTTTATACTTCACATGATGCCAAACTGGATGAGGCACAGTAAAACACGTATGAAACTCACCGAGTCCTCCTGTGGTTAAGTCTGTGCTGATGGTGTCCTCTTTGTCTGGTTGCTCTTTCTCCCTGTAAGATCTACCTCCTCCTCAGGAAGTCTCTGCCATAGCCATGGGAAACAGCAGCATCCTCATCAGCTGGAAACCACCCATCAGCACCTCTGCATCCATCAGTGGCTACATAGTGGAGTGGGCAGACACACACAGGAGCCTGGAGCCCCATCCAGCCTGGGTAAAGCTGCCAGCATCCAACCTGTCCACAGTGATAGCAGGTAACTGCCACCTGAGGTGAGATATGACCGAGGTATTGTGCTATTTAGACAGGTGATTAAGGAACGAGGCAGGTTCTAATTGTTCCTCATTCAGCATAAGTACTGATGACACACAAAGCTTTCAGTATAGGAGAAAAAGGGAATCCCGGCCACTCTGGACTCAGCTCTGCAATCACCCTCAGGTCAGATGTAGAGCTGATAAGCAAGACGTCTCTGAAAAACCCGGATCCTTCCCAAATTAAAGAAGCCAGCCAAAGGTACTAGAGAACAAAGCTTAAGACTATTTCCTTTCTCCTGATTGCTGGTTACTAATCCCACCCGGTACTACATAGAATCACAGAACAGTTAGGGCTGGAAAGGACCTTAAGATCATCCAGTTCCAATGCCCCTGCCATGGGCAGGGACATGTCAGCGTCCTGCACACCAGATAGCTATGGAGGTGACAAAAAGTGTTACCCTAATTAGTGATTCCTGTCATATTATCCCAGAATGTTTTGTATTGAAGGGACCTTAAAGCTCACCCAGCTCCAACCCCTACCATGGGCAGGGACCCCTTCCACTAGAGCAGCTTGCTCCAAGCCCCTGCATCCAACCTGGCCTTGAACACTGCCAGGGATGGCACGAGGATGCTCAGGGGCTGGAGCACCTCCTGTATGAAGACAGGCTGAGGAAGTTGGGGCTGTTCAGCCTGGAGAAGAGAAGCTGCGTGGAGACCTCAGAGCAGCTTCCAGTATCTGAAGGGGGCCTATAGGGATGCTGGGGAGGGACTCTTCATTAGGGACTGTAGTGACAGGACAAGGGGTAACGGGTTCAAACTGAAACAGGGGAAGTTTAGATTGGATCTAAGGAAGAAGTTCTTTCCTGTGAGGGTGGTGAGGCACTGGAATGGGTTGCCCAGGGAGGTTGTGAATGCTCCATCCCTGGCAGTGTTCAAGGCCAGGTTGGACAGAGCCTTGGGTGACCTGGTTTAGTGTGAGGTGTCCCTGCCCATGGCAGGGGGGTTGGAACTGGATGATCTTAAGGTCCTTTCCAACCCTAACTATTCTATGATTCTATGGGGCAGCCACAGCTTCTCTGGGCACCCCGTGCCAGTGTCACCCCCCACCCTTTCTTTAGGACAGAAACATTAATAATCAGAAGATTATTTAGGAAAGAAACATTAATAATCAGAAGATTCATCTCCGATTTAAGCAGCTGATGTAAATACTTCAGCCATGACGGTAAATACTTTAACCAGTAACCATCCCCTTCTGCTTTCCTCACTTAGAACACGTAAAAGATGAGGTGTGCTATCAGATCAGTGTATTCGCACTCTATCAGGACAGAGCTGGACGGGCTGCATCAGTTAAGGGATACTCAATTGCAAAAGGTAAATCACAGCACTGCCCTTCCGGATATTTTTAAGCTAGTTTAAGCTCTGCTTTAAAGTCAGTCTTGTGTCCTGCAGCTCCATCAGCTGGGCCCCAGATGTACACAACCCCGCATGCAAACGGCATCTTGGTTTCATGGGAAGCAATCCCGGCCCAGCAGCAAAGGGGCTGCATCACAGGGTACCACATATACCTGCAGAAAAGGGACAGGCAGGCTGACCCACGTGTCCATGGTAGGTACCTGGGGAAGGCCAAGGTGATGTGCACACACTGTGTGGGGACAGATGGGAGGGAGATGCCATCAGGAAGGCTCTGTATAGTCAAGGAGTCAGAGGCAGCTCATCTGCCATGGGGATTAGAGCAGCAAGGTTCAGTTGTCTTGCTCTGATACAGATGCCCATCAACAGAGCTGCATATCCAGGGCTTTCAGCTTTTAGCTGCATCATCCTAAGCTATTTTGAGAGTAGAACCAACAGATTTCTCTCTGCTATTATTAACATCATCGTCGTCATCATCATCACCACACAATACTTGTGTTGAAGGGAGCTTAAAGCTCACCCAGCTCCAACCCCTGCCACGGGCAGGGACCCCTTCCACTAGAGCAGCTTGCTCCAAGCCCCTGTGTCCAACCTGGCCTTGAACACTGCCAGGGATGGGGCAGCCACAGCTTCTCTGGGCACCCTGTGCCAGCGCCTCAGCATCCTCACAGGGAAGAGCTTCTGCCTAAGAGCTCATCTCAGTCTCCCCTCGGGCAGCTTAAAGCCATTCCCCTTGGCCTGGCCCTACAGGCCCTTGTCCAAAGCCCCTCTCCAGGCGTCTTGTTACCCTCTTAGGTGTTGGATGTTGTTAATGGATGTTTCATGGTTCCACCATAGACACCTCATTTTAGACTGAACCAAACAACAGTATTTAGGGGTCAGGATACACAATCCTAGGTGGCCAGTCTATACAATGGCACAGGTCCAAGACCCTTTACACCCCTTCCAATGATTCAGTAACGTAGGAAAGGAAATTAAAGCAGCAGATAACCTTCCATGCTCCGGCTGCCCGGTTCATTGGAGTTAACCGCAGCAAAGACATGTGTGAGGTGCTTCATGTGCTTCTCCTCCTCTTCCTCGCAGCCGTCTCCAGTGCGACAGCCCAGCGCTCACTGCACATCACTGACCTGCAGCCCGGGGAGCACTACGTCCTGTGGATGACGGCATCGACGCCGGCAGGAGAGGGGCCCGGGGGCAACAGCGAGCTCATCTGCTTGGAAAGTAATGAGCCTCTGCAGGGCTGTGGGGCCAGGAGGTATCCCAGCCCCGGGCTCCTGGCTTTCCACACTCTGGAAATGCTTTTCCTGCTCCTCTTTAGTTACTGAAGATCTCTTGTTGTCCTTTAATTGCTCAAGAGTTCTACTTTCAGCTGGTTTCAAGGGGTAGCATCTCTGTCTTCAAGCTCCCAGTTCTGTGCCAAGATGTTGGCTGTATGGCTTCATAGTACTTGAAGACCAGCAGGATGGTTTGCTGTGGACAGGGAAGGGTGGGTTTGGTCCTTTGCCTTGCTGGCCCTGTGTGCTTCAGTCTCCGGCCCAGGTATCCATGCAGGAAGTCCTGCTGACCTCCATGTGTTAGTGGCATTCCATGGGCATTACAGGAGCTGGCATCTCAAAGCCTTCCCGAGGAGCACAGCACCCCATGCTCCTGGAGCACACATCTGTGTCTCAAGTGGTCCCTATTCCTGAGCCCCACAAAGGATGCAGACCCAAGATGTTCTCCCAGAGCCTTCTGGCCACAGCTAGTGTCAATAAGCAGGGTTTCCATCCTGCAAACCACATTGTTTGCATTAAATTCACTTTGGGCCAGCTCAAGACGAAGTGGTCACTGCTGAGAGAAGGGAGCTGGTAAAATGTGTGTTGAAGCACTGTCAGGAAGGTGTTTTGCTGCATTTCCTCCCCAGCAACGTGCCAACACAACAGTTTTAAGCCCCTGAGTCATGGACGTTTGGGGTTTCATCTCCACAGCGTGGGAGCAAGGCTCCCCTGGAGGCAGGAGGAATCCAGGGAGGCTGGAGGGAGAGACATTAAAGCAATCCAGGCTGGTTTGTGTTGAAGGGACCTTAAAGCTCCTCCAGCTCCAACCCCTGCCACGGGCAGGGACCCCTTCCACTAGAGCAGCTTGCTCCAAGCCCCTGTGTCCAACCTGGCCTTGAACACTGCCAGGGATGGGGCAGCCACAGCTTCTCTGGGCTGTGATTCTGTGCTTCTATGAACTGCATGTTCTGGGCTGCGGACCACAGATCTCAATAGACACGGGTAGACATCGCTGTGTTAAAGCGCTGCTGTCCCCAACAGTGGATGCAGATTCCTGGATTTCAAACCCCCAAAACATGGCTGTGTTTTATGGGCTCAAACACTGATCAGGCCTCGGTTGTCCTCCCACTTGAAGCAGCACAGTTAGATCTTTATGTTTCTGATAGAGATGTTCTGCATTCCAGATGCTGGGGAATGGATGGCTGTTGTGCTTACCTGCAGCCTCTTCCTCTTCTCAGCCTGCATGTGTTCCATGCCTCCAGCAAGAAAAGCGTGAGTGGATCCATCATTTCCAGTAAAACATGGAACTGTTATAAGAAGGGATGGTCGTGTCCTTTCAGGACATCTTGGGGAGCAGTAAGGGTTGTTCTGAATAAGGGCTTCACATATGATAACAACACCCACTGAGGTTAAAGTACAGCCTCATTTCATGCAGCTGGTGTATTTTAACCTAGAGCCTGTGTGCCTCCACAGAAACAAACCTGGAGAGGTACATCCTTGGCAATCAATACGGGAGCAAAGTTAAAGATCAAGGACTGGTTTCCTTTAGAGGGACACACAGATGCTCCCAGCCAGTGGCCAGGACCAGAGCTCATGGCTGTATCCAGCAAGCTCTGCCCACTGGGCTGCTGTTGGTTATCACGGGTAAACCTCAGGCAGGAGGGTGATGCTGGGCAGCACCTGCTCAAGAGCTGCTCTACCCCATCAGGCAGCACCAACCTGCTCCCCGCAGGTCCCTGCCAAGGCAGGTTCTGTTACACTGAGCTCTTTGGTCGTCGCATGCACAAAGTGCACATCCCAGCTCAGCGCTGTGGGTAGCAGCGCTCCTGGCTCTAATTGCACTTAATTCCATCTGCAGATTACACTCACTCCTCACCATACTCGTACCGCAGTGGCAGAGCAAAGCCATTCCAGACCCAGCCAACGCTACATGGGCCAAGAACTACGCATCTGTGAAGGTGAATTGTACTCTCTTTTCCTTCTAATCCCATCCCCTTCAGAAGGAAAAGCGATTGGAGCCATGCAAGTCGGTCATCTCCTCGTGCAGCACATCCAGCAGTCCCTGACAGGGGATAAGCTCTGTCTTCATACTAGGTTAGACTGGAGGATGCATCGTAGAATCCCAAACTGGTTTGTGTTGGAAGGACCATAAATCCAGCTCCAACCCCTGCCACGGGCAGGGACCCCTTCCACTAGAGCAGCTTGCTCCAAGCCCCTGTGTCCAACCTGGCCTTGAACACTGCCAGGGATGGGGCAGCCACAGCTTCTCTGGGCACCCTGTGCCAGCGCCTCAGCACCCTCCCAGGGAAGAGCTTCTGCCTAAGAGCTCATCTCAGTCTCCCCTCGGGCAGGTTAAAGCCATTCCCCCTTCTCAGGCAAATTAAATGCAAAAACAATGCCGAGACCTTTCCGCCACTGGAATAATCTCCCCAGGGAAGCGGTGGCTCCCCAGTACTGGACACTATCAAGAACTGGCTGGGCAGGGTGCTGGGGCATCCAGTCTAGGTCATGCTTTAGAAAGGTTGGACGAGATGATCCTCGAGATCCCTTCCAACCCGGTACTCCATGACTTTAAGCAGTATTAGGTGCTGTGCAGAAGGATGTTTGCAGTGGGAGGGTGGGAGGCCACAGCACATCAATCCCATGGTGACCTATCACTGCCACGTGTTCCCACTGCAGGCAGAGCTGCGCTGGCCCTCCAGCCTCTTCCTGCCCAGCGCCAGCACCTTCGAAGAGCCTGAACCAACACAAGTCGAAGAAGCCCTTGTGAAGGACAGGGCCCTCCTCAGCAGCAGCGGCAGGCAGGGCCGTGGGGACTGGGCACTGCAGAGCAGCCGGGGGCACGAGGAGCCCCGCTACGAGCCTGTCCCCAGCACAGCAGATGGGGAGGTCTGCGAGCAGCAGCTGCCAGACCTCTACAGGAGGATGGTGGAGGAGGAGCCCACGGGGCACACGCAGAACGTCCCCGAGTACATCGCCAACCCCAGCACCAGCACAGCCCCCCCGTGCCTGCCCCTGGGTGCGGGCACTGCTGAAGATCTCCCCGAACTCGAGTGCCACGCGCTCTCCGTGTTCCCCACAACCTGCTTGACGCCCGTGTTTCCCTATGGAGGGAACCTCACCTTGGACGCGGTGAAGATCAACTGCAGCTCGTTCACCAGGTAGGAGCTCGGGGTGACGGGAGCCCGGCTGAACAGCTCCTGCGCTTCACTGGGGGCACAGACAGCCCAGGGCACCTTTAAGGGATGAAAGCCCAACTCACACCCCCAGCACTGCCGGTCACCCCTCACTGCGCACGGGAGCAGCTCTCACCCGCACAGCGCGTTCAGGCAGATCAAAGAGGGGGAATTCCATGGGGAATGCCAGGGCTGCCGGGGAGGGTCGTTGGTTGCTCAGGTTGACTTTGTGCAGCCTGGGCTGCCTCGGGCATCACTGACCTCGAGCACTGCCAGGGATGGGGCAGCCACAGCTTCTCTGGGCACCCTGTGCCAGCGCCTCAGCACCCTCACAGGGAAGAGCTTCTGCCTAAGAGCTCATCTCAGTCTCCCCTCTGGCAGGTTAAAGCCATTCCCCTTGGCCTGTCCCTACATCCCTTGTCCCAAGCCCCTCTCCAGCTTTCCTGCAGCCCCTTCAGGCACTGGAGCTGCTCTCAGGTCTCCCCTTCAGGAGCCTTCTCTTCTCCAGGCTGCCCCAGCCCAGCTCTCTCAGCCTGGCTCCAGAGCAGAGCTGCTCCAGCCCTCGCAGCATCTCCATGGCCTCCTCTGGCCTCGCTCCAGCAGCTCCACGTCCCTCTTGTGCTGCTGCCCCAGAGCTGGATCAGGGCTGCAGAGGGGCAGGATCCCCTCCTTGAGCTGCTGCTCACGCTCTGAGGGTGCAGCCCAGCACACGGGGGGGGTGTCTTGGATACAACCCCCAAGTCCTTCTCCTCAGGGAAGCTCCATCCAGTCTCCCCCAGCCTCTGTTTGTGCTGGGGATTGCCCTGACCCATGCACAGGACCTTGCCCTGGTTGAACTCCACGCATTCTCCCTCACCACATCCCCTCATCCCCAGCTACACTGGTGCTGCAGCCCCTGGGGCTACCAGGAGCCGTGGCCACAGCTCTGCCCAGGCCAGCCTGGCCATGGGGCTCAGTTCAGGGGAGGAGAAATCCTCACCAGAAAGAAGAGCAACCAAAGGGACTGTTAAGGGGAATTTAAACCATTTATTGAAGTATTCTAATCACAGGCCTGAAGTGCGTGGGACCCATTTATTGACTTTGTTTACTAGAGATGTATATATGTACATAAAATATAGAACTCCTGAAACTGGTTTCCTGTTGGTTTCCCTGGTCGAGCTCAAGTGCTAAGCTACAGATACACACAGAATAAGGTGGCTTTAAAGATTAAGCTGAAGCGTTGCTGCTAGATGAGACAGACCAGATCTGCACTTACCTGGAGCATCCCCGTCCTGCTGGGGATCAGGCAGCTGTTCTCCATCCACAGCTGGCTCCACAAGCTGCTGAGTAATGCCAGGAGACCCTCCTGTGACACCACTGCCTTGGAGCACATCCACTGTCAGCACTGTTCACCTGGCTGGGTGAAGGAAGAGCCATCAGGAGCCCTGCAAAGGGCTCCTCACAGGGCAGGGACAGAGCCACCTGCATCACGAGGCTGCTACCTTGAGGCCATGACTTCCTCCACTTCAATCACAGAATCCCAGCCTGGTTTGTGTTGGAAGGGACCTTAAAGCTCCTCCACCTCCAACCCCTGCCACGGGCAGGGACCCCTTCCACTAGAGCAGCTTGCTCCAAGCCCCTGTGTCCAACCTGGCCTTGAACACTGCCAGGGATGGGGCAGCCACAGTTTGAAAAGCAAAACCAAAAGGGAGCTCTCTGTTGGCTCGTTTCCCGTTCTCATCCCAGCTGTGGCTATGTCACCTTCTCCAGGAGGCTCCAGCACTGCCAGGCTCAAAGGCACTGCAGGACAAGGCTGCTCCTATCCATACCCAGGCACGTTGCCTCCTGAGCCAGGGCTAGGCAGGCTGGGGTACCCCAGTGGTTTGCCAAGCTCTGCACCTCCATTCAGCTTTCAACACCTCTGCAGTGGGTGGGGGCGTTAATGCTTCATAGGAAGGTGAAACTCATGCTTTGGGGCAGGAATTGTTCCTCAGCTCCATCTAAACCTGCCCTGGGGCAGCTTGAGGCCGTTTCCTCTTGTCCCATCCCTTGTTCCTTGGGAGCAGAGCCCAGCCCCTCCTGGCTCCATCCTCCTCTCAGGCACTTGTAGGGAGCCATCAGGTCCCCCCTGAGCCTTCTCTTCTCCACACTGAACCCCCCAGGTCCCTCAGCCCTTCCCCATCACCCTTGGGCTCCAGCTCCAGTGCCCTGTATGGATTTAGGAACTGAAGAACAGAGACTGAAGGCAGCTGCCCAGGATCCTGCTTCCCCAAGGCAGAGTAAAGGTACTGTGAGAAGCGTGAAGAGCAGGAGCAGCAGCATTCCAGGTACCAGCGCTGGCCATCGTGCTGTGCACTTGAGGGCTCCTCTGCAGCAGAGACCATCCCAGACGCCTGTTCTTGCATGTCCCACCTGCCCTGGGCAACACAACAGCCATTCCCCATCAATCCAGCGTGGTCCCTGCACCTACCTTCAGCTCACCTGCAGCAGGTGCTGCCTGTGACTCTCCCACATGCACCAAAGGATCCTGCTCGTACCATAGAGGCAGCAAAGCTCCTTCATGGCTGGTACTGCAGGAGGAGAACATTTACCCTGCTGCAGGAGCACTTAGCATGAGCTCACCTCAGACAGCAGGAATCGTGCACTGAAGGGAAACAACTCCCACTGTGCCAGTAAATGCACATGACAGTATCTTGAGAGGGGCAGGTATTCATAACACAGCACCCACAGTACCACTGCCAGCAATGTATCCTCCTCCCTCCCACCCTCATCCCTAACACGGATGTAAAAGCCGTGATCTCCAGGCTCCCAATGAAACCACATGTGAGGAGGCTTTGCAGCAGCTCTGCAACACAGCCCCACTCACTGGTGGCTGCATCCTCACTGCCACAGCCAAACTGGACCACGCTCAAGGTCACCGCTCAGACAGGACCGCAGGAACATGCACGTCCACATGGAAACAGCTTTTAGAAGCAGCCCACAACTGATGTGCAGAGCAGCCTTTGAGAAGGGCCTGTAGGGACAGGCCAAGGGGAATGGCTTTAACCTGCCAGAGGGGAGACTGAGATGAGCCCTTAGGCAGAAGCTCTTCCCTGGGAGGGTGCTGAGGCGCTGGCACAGGGTGCCCAGAGAAGCTGTGGCTGCCCCATCCCTGGCAGTGTTCAAGGCCAGGTTGGACACAGGGGCTTGGAGCAAGCTGCTCTAGTGGAAGGTGTCCCTGCCTGTGGCAGGGGTTGGAACTGGATGAGCTTTCAGGTCCCTTCCAACCCAAATCCGTCCATATCCTATGATGTTCATCCTGGTCTGACACGGCCCAGCAGGACTGCCCATGAAAAGGCACATTAAGCAGCAATGGTCATGTTGTCCCCACACGCTTCCCTCCTGCTCCACATCATGGTCCTGCAAGTGCTGCACAACCTTCAGGCACTTCCTTAAAGAATGCACAGAAGGGAATCTTCCTTGTCCTCCATACACGGTAACAGGGATCCTGCAGTTTGTCAAGTACAAATCCCAAGCACAACCAGACATGGGCTATCTCCAACTGCTGAACTGAAAGCAGTAAAACTGATCCCATACCCTATTTACCTTCACCCAGTAAAGAATGTGCCAACAAAACAAAGCTCCCTCACCTCTTGGGGTCACAATGACCTTTGTATCAACGGCTGGGGTGAAGATCAAGCAGCTCAAGAGCCCTTATCAGTAACTACAGCCAAGCTGCACCCTGGGGCAGTGAACTGAAACCTCAGCTCACCTGTACCGTCCGCAGAGGGCATCAGCAACAGCCCAGCTCATCCCTTGTCCTGCAGTGCACCCCAGCATGCAGGTTTGCTGCTCCTGGCCAAGAGGAAGACATCTACAGCCATACAACCACCAGCACTGAGACACCACACACACGTCACAGCCCCACAGCACACCAAGCTGTAACCCTGCTGAAATACGGGAAGAGGAAAACCCTTGAGCTCCTACCTGCTCTCTCTCTTCCAGTTCAATCCAAGGTGCATTAACCTCTGCAGCCCTGCAAACCTCAGTCCCTGAGCAGAAGCAGCAGCCATCAGGCTCCAGGCACATGGAGCCCCACACAGCAGACAGCCCGTTCACTGCTAGGAGCAAACCCCACACCGCTCTTAGCGTGAGCTCAGAACACAACAGCTCCATTAGTCTACATCCTCATCCTGTTCTGAATGTCAGGTGTTTCACCTGTGATAACAGTGTATGGAAGGAGATGAAACTACCCCAGAGCAGTCTCTGGCAAAGTGAAGCACAATTCCTCACATCCACCCAAGGCCACTCACACCATCCACAGGAGTTTTTGCCAGGTCCCAGCTCTGTCATTTCAGCTGGTTCCAAGGTTTGGTCTCCAGCCTGGTAACAGACATTTCCCACCTGGGAACGTTGGCTCAGTGGCACTCAAATGCAAACACTTCACTTGGACTTGGTTCGGGGATCCCAGACAACAGAACTCCATTTCTGTGCTCTCCATACCCAACCTGGCAAGAGGCTTCCAGCTGGGCAGCATGGACAACTCAGGACCTCAAGTCAGCTGCACACAACCAAATTAGAGACTTACTGCCAAAGAAAGGTATTAAAACACACAGAAGGCCAAAGAAAGCACTCCTTTGTCATTCACCCATCTTTGCACAGGCCTTCAACACACAGACGTAACACTAGAGCACATTTTCTCCTTGCTCTTCATGTCTCCAGATAAATCACCCCATAGGACTTCATGCAAGTCCTACTCCAACTCCAAAAAACAAGTAACACTGTTAGTAAGACAACAACCAAAGCTAAGTCTCCAAGTAAGGACAAATTACTGTTTTCCCCTCACTCAGGTTACATCCCCAGAATGAATATTGCATTTGGGTTTTCAAGTGCAGGACCCAGTGCAGCAGGGACGTGCACTTGGCACAGGACACCACAGCACTGGGACACTCAGCGCTTGCTCCAACTCACCCGAGCCTGGCCTGGAAGCTGTTACCTGGCCAAGGCAGAGCACAGGAGCATACAATCCAAAGGGAATGTGGTCCTTGTGAGGACTTTAGGAAAGAAGCAGGTTAGCAAATGCTGGAAGTGT